ATCTAATTAACTCTTATGTATAACGCGAAATGCATTTAATGTGATGGGCATATATTTCATGCGTGATAGGGAAGGCCAACCACGATTACGTACGAATATAGTGGATCATTTTATATGAATTTAGCTTATGAAGGTTTCCAGTGTAAATAACATGTTGAGGCATCAATAGTTATTTTTAATATTTTGATTTGATAACTTTTTTGATACAAAGAATTATGTGATCTTAAAATGCAAATCAAGATAAAAAAACATGGTAAATAAATAAAATGGCGCTTGAAATGCTAGCTAATAATACTCTTTATTTGATCATTATGTTTGGAGAGAATTTTCAGTAACGAAATGTTTTTATCCTTAAGAATCACTTCATGCAGCGACAAAGTCTTTTTCCATCGGCTAAAGTTTCTGCAATCTCAGTCTTAATTGATAATTTGTAACTCTATATATGATGAGCAACTAATCTCACATGCTGAACATTAATTTATTCTTATTTTCAACTACAAGAAGAGGCTATTAATGTTTGATCACTCATCTCACTCTCGTTCTTTTTATTCTTCTCTTGTCACATATAATCTCACTCTTACAAAATTGAAGCATAATGACTGATAATTATTTTTCATTTTATTACTACTCACCACCGATTTATTGCTACTACGAGAAGGGATTGAGCTCGCACATCCTCTTATTCTTATCTCCTTTTGTATCCTCTAAATAGACTATGTCATGTCAGTTAAAATATTTTAACTGTTATAATTTTTTAACTGATGTGAAATGAAATTCTAAATTAGCGTGGCATTTATTTTGATGTGGTGTAATATTATTAAAACGATATATAACGGAACAAGAATAAGAGCACAGACACGAGTCAATTTCACATATCAAAAGCAACAACTTTTCATCTTCTTCAACCCAACATTTTCATATTGGGAAAAAATGTAGAAGAAAATGACGAGATTCAAAAGGGAATTAATAATGCTTCGGTTTCTTTGATTATATTTTTTTAAGGGGATTTCTTTGATTATTTTTAGTGGGTGCATGCTCCCTGTATAAAATAATGAGTGGATTAATCATATATGGATTGAAAAGTTGGGATAAGTAATAAAGTTAACAACTCGTGAAGGTCAGACAACTAACATGGTTAGAAATATACTCAGTTAACCTTAAAAATAAAAAATAGGGCCCTATCATTTAGTACATTATATATATATATATATATATATATAGGAAAAGTGCCTGACCAGAACGGCACTTGTACATTTTTGTATGAAGTGTGTATATTTACAGTAAGTTGTGTATATTTACAGGTAAGTTGTGTATATTTACATGGCACTTGTATAATTGTGCAATCGTGTATATTTACATGTAAATCGTGTATATTTACATATAAATCATGTAGGTTAAGTTATAAGAAACGACAATGTATATTAATTCTCAAAATATGTTTTTTTTATAGCAATTAGTGAACACATAGTATGAAAATATGTATATTGACTGATTTGTTGTATTTCATGTTAAATATACAAGACTTTACTAAATATACAAGACTTTACAAGTAAATATACATAATTTACGTATAAATATACACAATTTATATATGATTATACAAGTACCTGACTGGTCAGGCACTTTCCAAGTGCCTGACTAGAGACAATTCATATATATATATACTAGTTTTGTACATTATATATATACTAGTTTTGGAGACATATTGAGTACATGTTGCCGTGTGTGGTTCATTTTGATTTTAACACACAATACTACAAGAGATTAAAAAACAATTAATTAATTGATGTATAGTTGTTGATGAGACACAATATTTACAAATATTAGATTTGAAAAGAAAACAATTGATGTATCAAAATGTGTCCTTTCAATCACAACATGTGTTTCTGTCAAATATTATATTTTCACAAACAATAAAATAGAACATTCTAAAGGAAATACTTTGATCTGGAGACATATCCAATAGAAAACCAAATAATGTGTACGTATGAAAAAGAAAAATATGTTGAAGTAAAGGCATATTTGATAATAATTATTTCAGTAGTTTTTTTCAGAACATATTTAAAAACTAATTAATAGAAAACTAATTAGGGTGAACATGAGAATGAGAAAAATGTTTGATTAAGGATGTATTCTAGAAAAATAATTTCAGTGGAGTAAAAAAGAGCAAAAAATTTATCAAACACATGTAACGTAAAATATACAGAGGATGGTAAGAAATGTACTTGTAGGAAAATATTTGTAAGAAATATATCTATATTTTTAGGTACTTGTAAGAAATATTTTAACTACATGGGAAAAGGAGAGAGTTTTGCATTCACGGCTTCTATAATAGTTAGATAATTAGATATATTGGTAAGAAATATTTTAACTGAGAAATTAGAAGAATAATTTACTGAAGTGGGTTTGAAAATATATAAGATAGAACGTAGGAAATGCAAAAAAGGGGCAAAAAATGATAAGAATCATAAATGAAGGAAAAAAATGTAAACTAAAAATAATTATGGACCAACTAATGAAGGAAGGCAAGAAAGAAACAAAGCAAAAAAAAAAAAAAAATGAAACGGCATGGGAGAAAGAGAGATTTTGCACACAAAAAAAAAAAAGCAAAAAAGCAAAAAAAAAAAAAAAATAAGGCAAAAATTCATAAGAGCATAAAAGCAAAAAAGTAAAAATAAAAAAAAAGGAGGTAGGTGGCAATAGACGTGAGGAGAGAGCTTTGTATTTCTTTTGAAAAGTAAAAGTAAAAAAAGAAAAAAGAAAAAGAAAAAGAAAACAATGGCAAAACAGTTGAATAATAATAATAATAATAATAATAAATTATCTAACCCCGCGAGATTAGTCGGTTATCGAAACAATGGCAAAATAGGATTGCTCATTAGCAATATCTGATCTGACTAACCAGTTGTTTTGTCCTCGAGACTAATAATTACATGATACTTAACCTTAAAATTCTAAGACAATGAACTGCACCAGGTAGTCAAACCGTACTGTAGTTTATATGATTTGTGTTTAAATGTATACTAGAGCCACCCACATGATGCATTATCAAGATCTAAAGAGATTCAGTTAATTAAGCACAACTATACCACCTCTAGCTCAAGAAACAATTATTTTAATAATTCACGAATGGCACCCAAGTGCGTCAATTTTTTAGCCAAAGCAAATATGGAAACGACAGAATGTCTTTCTTTTTCACTTTTTAATTTGATTGTCTTGCGTGATAGATAATTAATTAGTAGGGGAAAAAAGTAATAATACTGATTTAAGTTTTTTTTTTTTTTTTGGAAGAAAAATTTAAGTTTTGTATATGAGAAATAATATTAACCATATATCATTTTGGATATAATTAGTCCAAAAATAAATCCGGATCAGATGTGCATTATATTTGTGCACTGTTACTGGCTAGCATATAAACAAATCATATTTATAAGCCATCCTATGATGGGAGACGCACGTCGACATGCATAGCTAGCGGGCCTCATTACCATTATGATGAGTACCTTCTCCCATGTGGGTAGCTAGCAGTTGGAGTATTTGACTTCTATTGCGACGTTAATATAGTGGGCCACTCGAAAACCGCGTGAGATGGGCCAGCCTCTCCTAGCTAGCCTAAATACACTTCTTTACTCATTGATTAATTAAATTTAAAAAAAAAAAATTTAATTTTTGAGCTTCAGGTGGGGAATCTGAACTATAAACTTTATAATGAAGACATTTAGAGTATCTCTCACATAATATTAAGAACATAATGTTATAATAATATGTAAATTGTAAATTAGCATTTGAGTGTAAAAAATCAATGTTAATTTTGCCATATAAGTTATGATGTGTGGTAAATTTCTCACCAAATATAGCATATAGTAAATTTATAATTTGCCATTTGATTGTCATTGATTAAAATGTTTATTCTCACATGTTATCATTGTTATTTTTACATTTTTAAATTATTTTAAAAATAAAAGTTTACTTTTACAACTTTTAAGACTTAATGATTATGAGAAAATGTAGATTTAACATTTCAAATAGTATTATACATTGGAACACAAATGAAAATAAGCGATCATATCATATTTTTGGCCGTGAAATATACAATTGACATTAACATTTGTGTTGGAGATGGTCTTATAATTGATGTGCTAATTAGAAATTTAGCATTTGAGTGCAAAAATGAACTCTCCAATGCAATGCTATTTGTTGTGTCGAATTTGTCATATGCTATAATTTGTAGTAAATTTCTCACCAAGTATAGCACATAATAAATTTGACATTTGATTGCTATTGATTGATATATTTACTTTTTAATGTAATCATTGTAACTTTTGTATTTTCATATTATTTTAAAAATAAAAATTTATTTTCACAACTTTTAAAGCGAATGATTATGGCTTTTTGTACTGTAAATTTCTCACCAAATATAGCACATGATAAATTTAACATTTAATTGCTATTTATTGATATATTTACTTTTTAATGTAATCATTATAACTTTTGTATTTTCATATTATTTTAAAAATAAAAGTTTATTTTCACAACTTTTAAAGCGAATGATTATGGCATTTTGAATGCAAAAACACTCTCCAATACATTAAAGCACAAATAAAAATAACATATTCTGTCATATTTTTTAGTATCAAATATAGAATAAGTATTAATATTTGTATTAAAAATAATCATAAACGTAAAATTACCGTTACACTGTGCCTGCTACAATTACAATATTTTCTTCTTTTTCTGCGGCTAATAATCTCCTCATCTCTTACGTCCGTAGGAGATATCATTGAATAAACACGTTTTTCACAAGCTATCTACTTCCAAACAGGAAATAGTGTACCGTACTAGCTATATTAGTAAAACAGTGTATAAGCAATAATTAATATCATAAAATACACATGCTGAATAGAATAATCTTTTTACCAATATCAATAGCCACCAACTATCATCACCTTTGTATCTATAAAAAGGAGGGAGCTGCATTGTAGAAGGTGCAAGGGTTTGGAAAAACAACCAAAGAGATCCTACATATGGTCTAATTGGTTGGGTTTTTGGGTACCTAAGGATTTTGAGTGTGGTTTTCCTATATCTACACAATTTCCCTGCTACTTTCCTTCATCTTTTATTAATTTGTTCACAAATTTTCCTTTCTGCTTTACAAAAAAAAAAAAAAAAAAAATGGCTTACCAAAAGGGACTTAAGCTTCGAAATTATCTATTGATTAAACCAAAAGAAGCTAGTTTCCTTCAGTTTATCCGTCTCTTGTTTTCCCCTAACTCGAACAGAATAAGCTTCATTGAGTTCTCGGAAGAAGAAGGGCAGAAACTTAGAGAGAGCCTTTTGTTCAGACTTATCATAACCGCTTCCGCTTTCGTGCAGAAGCTCCTACTTAAAATAAGAGTTCCCATGGCTAAAGTTGGTGATCTTCTTGAATCGCTTCTTAATATTATAACAGCCAACGGCGGCTTAATTGCACTCTTGCGTAACTTAACCACAGGTTGGCTCTTATTATTAGTTCCCTAATTGGGCCCAAATTACTCTTGTTCGCGTCTTGCGAGCTAAATGACAGCCAATATATAAATATATATATATATATTTATATAAATATATAATACATATTATATGTGTGTATTGACTTTTCATGCAATATCCATATCTCGTTAATACGTATGCACTTTCATTTTTAATATAAGTAATATAAATTCATATAATTTGTATAGATGCATGTAAATACACATTATATAAGCATAACATGTGTAATTATTGGAGGGGGCTGTGTAAATGCAGGAAAGGTGGTGTTGCCGACTCCAATACAATCTGCATCCGTGATTGGAAACCTTGATACGCGAGTGGATTTAGACAAGAACATTACTACGGACGACGATAAATATTTGGGAGCGCTAACTATGATGGCTGCTAAACTGGCATATGAGAGTGCAGCCTACGTTACAAACGTAGTTCAGTTTCATTGGAAGGTAAACAATTAATATTACTACTTTATATATATATATATATAGAGAGAGAGAGAGAGACACACACACACACGAACTCAACTCGGCGGAGGGTAATTAATTCCTTGGTCAGTTCAAAATGCTTGGCCCATTAAAATTTCAGCCATTTGTATATATCATATATTGATATGTTAAATTTATGATGAAGAAATTAATACCTTTCCCTAATTTTGTCTGCAGATGCAATTCTTGGGGTTCTATAATTACTGGAATGGTGAGAATGCAAGGCTACCTAATTAGATAACCATAGCTTTGAAAATACACACATATATATTATATAGAAAACATGACTTTTGGTAAGTGGTGGCTTTCTGAAGCTTAACAGAAAGCACCCCGGCCACTGGTAAAATTTCTCTCTTCGACCAAAGTTGGGCAGACGTGCATGCATGAACATACAAAAATCGTATTAAATCCTCTTTCTCAGTATATATTCCGATACCAAGACAGTTTATGTTGCAATATTCTCACCTCACACACATAAAATAATGTTGGATAAGATCGCTTTTCGATATATATGCTGATTAAACCTGATTTTATCAATTGAAATAACCTGATTTAAAAAACTGTTATACATAATATTTACTGACAATAATTGGAATTTATTGATTATAAAAGATCTCTTTCTGCCGGCCATAACTATCTGAATTATGTCTAAAATAATTGTTACTCAGTTTTTTTTTTTTTTGTCTTTTAATAAACTAAGAAATCATAAACCAATAATTGTCGTCAGATTTTAATGACATGATCACTTAACCGGCAAGACCCAAAAATTAAAAGTATTGATACCGCTGCTTGAATCTGATTGGTCCAATAGGAACACTTCAATATAATCCAAATTAGGAAGGAATGTTATCAACATAACTAAGAATATATAATACAGTGAACAGTTCTGGGAGAATTTTTTAGCAGTTAAAAAAATAGCCCAACCAATGCTATATGTAGTTTTAATCCTTGTGATCTTCATCAAGTTTTTTTAAATTTATATGTTTTTTTTAATGATACGATTTTAATGTAATCTAACAGTGTAGAGCTGTGCAATACGTACAGGTAGGGTATATTATATCTCTTCACAGAAATCTAAACAGTTCTACAGTGAAAATTAGTTTTAGTAAAAAATAATTATCGGTAGGAGTATAAAGCATATTTCATGTTGTTAGATTTTTATTAAATTCTATAGTTTTGTGTACTTATAATGCAATTTTGGTTTGTTCGATAAAACATAGTATTATCGATACAATTTCCTCATAAACATTTGAAAAACTCAATAGATGTACATCATAGTTTTTTTTTTTTTTTTTTGTCTTTCTTATAAGAAAATTTTCTTTCAACGCCTGTAATTTAATTAAAGAACTGAGAAACAAAGAGTAAAAGATAAAAATTAGTAATTTAATGCACCATTACAATTAATTTTTATCACTATTTGTTGATTAGAAAAAAGAATAAAAAACTACTTTATAAACTTTTTAATTATATGGAGACTTATGTGGTAATTACTCTATCATATCGACAATATTTATGAATATCGAATCACAACATAAACATATTATCCGGGATGTAGCATGTTTGAGGCCCAAGTGGCTCCATTTATATTTCTTTTTCTTTTTCTTTTTTTAAATCACACCCCTTTTTATGTTTTTCCCGTTAAATTTTTCTAGTTTCAATCTTAAGCTAAGAAGTTGAAAACTTTTTATTTATACATTTAAATTTTATTTTTATACCCAATATTCTAAGATCATTTTTATACCCTCCAAATGCATGATGACAAAGTAGACCCTAAACCCTTGTTCCATGCTTCCGCGCAGATTATCTCGGAACATTTTCAACACCAGTTTTCCTGTTTCAAGACGCAAAGTTCAACGCCAAACTGGTAGTCGTGGCCTTCAGAGGCACCGATCCGTTCAGCGCAGATGGGTGGAGCACCGACATCGATCTCTCGTATTACGAGATCGAGAACGTCGGAAAGGTCCACCGTGGCTTCGCCAAAGCTCTCGGCATAATTCAAAACGACAACACCATGCCGTCCCAGCTATTAGAACAAAATAAAGATGGTATTGATTTGAAACCCTATGCTTACTATGAGATCGTAAAGCTGCTCAAGGGTATACTGCTACTCAACCCCAAGGCCAAGTTTATAGTGACGGGTCACAGCTTGGGTGGCGCGTTGTCGGTGATGTTCGCGGCGGCGCTGGCAATGCACGGCGAGGCTGATTTGCTCGGAAAGTTGCAGGGTGTTTACACTTATGGACAGCCTAGGGTTGGGGACGAACAGTTTGGGACCTACATGGAACAGAAACTGTCAAAGTACAATTTGAGTTACAATAGGTATGTTTACTCCTTCGACTTGGTGCCGAGGATCCCTTTTGATGACAACAGTTTCTTGTACAAGCACTTTGGGAAATGCCTCTTCTTCAACAGCCTCTACAAGGGGAAGGTAATTAATTAAAGTCTCTTCTTTCCTTGGGATATTGTCTTACATGTCAAAAATTTAGGATAAATCATGAAGTTCAAATCTAAGTCACAAGATAATAATCGATGCAAAATTTGGTTTATATAATATTGTACATAAGTTTCTAATTATGAGATACATAATAAATATAATTTCAGGTTCTTGAGGATGCGCCAGACAAGAACTACTTCTCTTTGATATGGTACTTTCCGAAGCTTCTGAACGCGTTGTGGGAGTTGATTAGGAGCTTCATAAACCCACATAAATATGGTCCGGACTATAAGGAGGGCTGGTTTCAGATATTGTATAGGTTGTTTGGTATATTGGTTCCAGGATTATCAGCTCATGGCCCTCAAGATTATGTCAATCTTACCCGCTTGGGATCCGTGCCTGCACTTAACGGCCCTGATGATGATTATGAATATGATGAACCAATCAAAGTACTCATACAGCCTTGATATAATTAATTACCCTGCTGAGATTCCCGAATATCATGTGAAATATGACTATCTATGGTCACTGTTGCCGTTTGTAGCAACTTCTTAAATAATCCATGTTGGTTTCTGCTCATGTAATAAATTGTTAAGCGCTATTTTGGATTTCTTGCATTTCAAAAAGCAACTTTTGGGTGTTTGGTTGGTGCGCCTTGTAGGTTGAATTTTGTAGATATAAATCTTTTTCTTATAAATAAAATGGACCCCACGGATAATTTGGTGAGTCGTGGAGTTCAAAATGATATATGCTTAATTTTGCATAATTTATTTATTGTCATTTTTACTTTTACATATGAAAATCAACCTTCACGCATTTTAATTTTCACCGGCAGACTTTCAAAATTTAGAGAAATCTAAAGGAATGTTATCTCACTGTAAGAGCATAGAAATTTAAACACATATAAGATTTGTGCCATCAGTTTTTCGTATTAAATATCGATTTAAGAATAATGGAATTATTGAAGAATGACACAAAACTAAAACACTGAGTTAAGTGATTAAGTGGGTCCGGTGGCTATGCTGAAATTGAACGTACGCGGTTTATATTTTTCTGTTGTTTTTGTCGTACAAGTTTGATGAATTTATTTACTCGTTGTTGCAGAAGTTAGGGTTCTCTTGTCGATCTGTTACTAGGCATTTTACTCTCCTTTTGAGATCTTTTCTTGCCTCTGGTTGAATTAAATGCACTTATTAGCAAAAGAGAAAAAATAAAGATAAAAATAAATTGAGTTGGATTTATGTTCGAGAGGACCCAACTTGCTTTGCCTTTCCTTGCTTCTTCTTTCTTTCTTTGAGAAAACTTAATGAGTAATTGGTCCAGGTAAAAGAAAAAAAGTTTTTTTTTTTTTTTTGTTGTTGTAGGTTTAACGTTTTTTGTTGAAATGGGTATATGTTTTACAGAAGGATTTGGCTATGTGGAGGTAATCATGAATAAATTTTGGGAAGAAGAAGAAGAAGAAGTGAGGATTTTGAATATTTAAAAAAAATAAAATTGTGTAATCTTATGTGGAGACTTGAAAAGGCAAACTGAAGCAATAATGTCTTTTGGACCATGTAAGTTTGTTATAACGGCCCGACACAACTTGTTCCACTAGTGAACTTAAATAGCCCGTTCTAACATAAATATCCCCTTATTGATAAAGTTCAAATGATAAAAGCTTAACTTTTTATGTCAAACAGAATCAATGTACGGTATAGTTTTTTTTTTTTTTTTTTTTTTTTTTTTTGGGGGGGGGGGGGGGGGGGAATGAATAAAAACATGTGGGGTTGGTGGGGTGGGGAAGGTGGGATATAACTGTCCGGTGGCGGAGCCAAGATTTTATATCTTTTTGAGGGGGGCATTTAAAAAAATTTTAAAACTCTATAGAGTGAAAGTTGAAAAACCAAAAATCAGGGGGCATGTGCCTTAAGTTCTAAAGAAAAGAAAAAAAAATTAAGGTTGGACCCTAAAAAAAGAAATAAATAAATAAACTAACAGACAATGTCCAAAATTCCCTGTCCAACCTCGACAGCTAGTGAGATTGGTGGCATTAACAATCGATATTAATTGATGAAGTACAAACAAAACATATATATATTTATATATATTTGCTTGAAAACTGATATCTAATTAACTCTTATCCAAAATGTATTTAATGTGATGAGTGAGGGACCAACTTGATTGTAAGCCCCTCCACTCTCCAAGACGGTCTTGCAGACCTAAGAAGTTCAACAAAAAAGAAGGGAGAAAATTCCGGTTCTTCAGAAGGAAAAGACGTGGCAGTCTAAAGTCAGAATGGACGCAGTGGCTATATAGTGCACAAGGTCCTTTTTGTTTATGGTTTTTGGAGCTCTCGGCCAGTGATGGTATCAAAGCCTAAACATGGGCTCGGCAACTTCACAGGAGTCCTGTGAAGAATGAGAAGATTATGATATAAGAATAGGAAGGAAGAAGAGTAAGAGGAGAAACACCATACACTATGGATGCTCCTACCCAGAAATCAACTCAATCCTTAGAACCAGTTAGATTATCCTCCTCTATTATTACTATTCCTAGTTCCTGTAAAAGATCCCTTTCTTCAAAAATAGAGAACTTAGTAGAATACTCCTATATTCCTGAAACTACTATAGTAGAAGAGTATGTCCCTCCCTTGTTAAGTTCGTACAATATTTTCAAAAGACACCGACGTACCATTAGACAGCTTATCTCCAATACTAGACCTACTGTTAAAGAATATGCCCAGTCCTCTAGGCTTGATAAGTGTCTCATCCCCAGCACCTCTCAAGAACAATATATTGATCTTGAGATTCTAAAAGAACTTGTTACCCAATGGCTTGCTGAAGGCCACACTCATCTCCATTTTGGGCTCTCACTACAACAGGTTCCCGTAGCTGAAGAAGAATGCTCTCCAGCTGTCATCCTTTTATGGAGAGTCACAAAATTTTATCCTAAAATCTTATCTTGTATAAAGCTTATTTGTCTTTTGCGTAATAAGTCAAAAGTTAAGATAATGTGTCTCCCACTTTCCTAATAGTGGTTCTGTCTTTTGTAAAAATAGTCAACAAGTGGAATAGTGCAAGGACCCTATGCACTGTATAGCCACTGCGTCCATTCTGACTTTTGACCTTTAGTGCCACAGATGCTTATCACTCATGGTCATGGAGATCGTAGCAAGGATCTTAGGCTTAAACTTTCTGATGTGCAGGCAAGCACAGAGCATACTAGTTAGGAGGAGAACAGTTATGATATAAGGAAGAGAACTCATAATTTCATAAAGGAGGAAGGGAATTTTAGAAACTCATGGGCTTATGGTTCTGGTGTAGCTTTTCATAGTTGGTGAACCATTTCAGAGGCATAAGCTTTGTGATCTCATCTCAGGAGAGTTGCTTGGGGATCTGCACAATGGTTGGGATCTCATTTTCTCTTTCTGCTGTGATAAGCAGAGTATCTGGAGTATGACTTGATTTCCTAACTCGATCAAAACCGACCCAAGTCATCACCCCTTATAAGACTTTTCCTCTCATCCTCATGACTTCCAATATCCACACAACACTGTGCTTCCCTGTAAAACCAGACCATTGTTTTCCCCCCGGTCTAGACAGTATAGCCACACCTAACTAGATCAGTACTATGGTAAACACCACCTTTTCTACTACCCAACCAATGTTTGCAACAGAACCAAGAACCCATATGCCAAGTTCCTATACAATACAGAACAACCATACCTTGCCCTTTACCATTTACACTATTTATCTTTCAACTTTTTTAAAAAAAAAGACAGAACTACTTTTGACAAAGTGACACAGTGGATGACACACTATTCCACTTGTTGACTATTTTTACAAAAGACGGAACCACTTTTAGGAAAGTGGGAGACACATTATCTTAACTTTTGACTTAGTACGCAAAAGACAAATAAGCTTTATACAAGATAAGATTTTAGGATAAGATTTTGTGACTCTCCGTAAAAGGATGACAGCTGGAAAGCATTCTTCTTCAGTTACAAGGACCCGTTGTAGTGAGAGCTATAATCTGATGAGTCAGAGTTCATTGAACCATGCTCATAAGGATACCATTGTCGCTGGCATTTGCTGGGCGATGAGTCATAGTCTGGGTCCTAAGAATCTTGGAACAGTGTTGGGTCATAATTTTTCTGGCCCTGTGTGTCTTGTTGTGATGATGGTGCTGCAGCGGAGGTTGTTGCATCTTCTTCTCCAAAGTATCAATTGTTGCTGATAGTGAAGATGTTGTAGGGTCCATAAATTTCAGTGGGTGGAGCTATTGCAGAGCTTATACTTGGCTGTAGAGCAGGCTTTGGCTAGTGTCCATTTTCTCTGCACAGAACCTTGACAAAGTGATCTGTGATGTCCTTAAGTGACTGGGGATAAGCAAAGCCAGTATACCAGGTGTATACTTCATGTTGTGTGTATAGCCCCTGTGTCTCTGAGTTGAGTAGGTATGGTCGGTGTAGAAAGAAGATGGTATGCATGGGTGGAACTTCTGCTGAGGAGAAGGTCCAGACTTTGTATCACTGGAGGAGTCTTGAGACTTCTTTTCTCCACCACATGAGTGGATTAAATATTTCCAGGAGTTGCCACAGAGTTGATCCCCCATTGTTGGGATCATTGAGGTGTGTGTGAAGATTCATGAGTGGACAGTTTAAGGCGATCTTGTAGAGAACTGTTTGGCACCATAGGTACCAAATGTCATCTTTAGTAATTTCGCCAAAGGGACGAAGATGGTAAAGGGCAAGGTATGGTTATTCTGTATTGTACATGAACTTGGCATGCGGGTTCTTGGTTCTGTTGCAAACATTGGTTAGGTAGTAGACAAGGTGGTGTTTAGCATAGTACTGAATCTGGTTAGGTGGAGAGTTTGATCATAAATTGAGAGTTCGAGTCTCACTTAAAAATTGTTACATTCACCCCTCCTTTTATATATAAAAAAAAAAAAAAAAAAAAAAAAAAAACGTTTTTTAATTTTTTTTTTTTTTAATAATATTCTTTTCTATTTGAGAACGTTCATGGAGATATATTAAAGAAATTTTTAAGAATGTCATAAAAAAGATAATACTATTTTGTTTTTAACATTAATTTTAAATTTATCACTTATGTCATAAAAATATTATGGTATGATATCTTTTATATTGATGTCTTATAAGAAAAAAATTTCTGACAGAATATTTTTTATATCTATCAAAATAATTTTTTTCTCGACAAAATCTATTACAATTTTTTTTTTTTTTGACAAATTCTCTCTCTCTCTCTCACTCTTTGTCTCAATTTCAAGATCCTCCGCAGCCCAGTCACCACGAAAATGATGAACCGTCTATTTGGTCTAGTACAGAGCTTTTCTATTGCCGGAGGGACAGCCTGTCAAACGCAAACTCTGAAGCTTTTCTCCTATATGACATCAAATATCTGTATTTGAAGATGACCATCAATAAAATGTAATCTCTGAAAACTCAACTATATATATAACGATATAATTTTATTTCTGTCTACACATAGCTTGCAATAATAAACGATTACGCATTAATTGTCACTTTTTAGTGCATTACAGCTGTTGCAACAAGAGACAAATTATGACAAAATTAATTGCAAAGTGGGAATTAATATTAGAAACGATATGACAAAGAAAGGAAATGAAATATCACTGATCATTATATTTAATTAAAACAAGGGATCACGCAACTTTTCATATATAATTCATCCACATCTCCCTCACTTTAAAGTTTAAATTTTTTTTATGTCTAGGTTTATGTTAATTTTTTTTTTCCTCAAACAACCGTCCCCACCTTACTCAAGTACTAAATTCCTCCACGGCTCTACCTAACTCGTTTAGCATCGGCTTTAATGCACTAATAAGAGAAATATCCAAGAACAAACATACCATTCTAGAACTAATTACTTAACTAGTTTTAAGATTAGAAATGCTAGAGCATCATTTTTATTGTTTGACACTCTCTATATTTATTGTTTGACACATGGATTCTACTAATATGATATTATTATTTAAATAGAAAATAAGATAACGGGATTTACGTATCAAACAATGAATACAGAGAGTGATAAAAAGAGTGACGTTGATATTTCTTGTTCTAAGATTATTTGACCCAATGAGATTAGTCAGTTATGCAACAATGAACGAAATAGGATTTGCTCATCTATTAGCAATATATCTTACCTAACCAGTTGACTAAAGGTCAAACTGTGCTCTATAAAATTTGTTTAAATATATGCAATAGCGCTACCCACATGACGAATTATCAAAACCTAAATGAAATTCAGATAATTAAGAACAACCATATAACATCTAGCTCAAGAAACAATTATTTTAATGACTCAGGAGTAGGTCAAATAAATGACTTTTCAAACATTCACAATGGCGTGCTTAAACGTGCAAGATTTTCATTGGACTTTTCCAGTAAAATATTTTGACAAAACATCTTTCCTTTTTCTTTCAGTTTTTAAATATGACAGTCCTAGCGTGTTAATTAATTAACGGAAAAAAGTAATTATACCGATTTATGTTTTGTGTATGAGAAAATCGTACGTTGAAGAAAAACGTTTTCACAAGTCCATCCAGTTCCAAGGAAATAGCTTAGCGCACTATATACATTAGTAAAACAGTGTATAAACCTAATTAATTCATAAAAAATGTATGCTGAAAGGAATCGGCTGATATGTCCTTCCTTTATTTATATGTCGCTCTCATATTCTTATAATATCACGTCACATCAATTAAAATTTCATAATATATCAGATATAAAAAAAAAATCATGAGAGTTAAAATATAGATAAATAATGAAACGCATGGTCCATGTTGAATATATAGAATAGTCTTTCTACCGATAGGCACCCAATGATGGTCATCTTGTATCTATGAAAGGAGGGAGCTGCATTGTAGAAGGTGCAAGGTTTTGGAAAAACAACCAAAGAGATTCTATATATATATATATATATATATGGTCTAATTGGTTGGGCTTTTAGTTACGTAAGTTAAGGTTTGAGAGTGTTATAAAAGTTGCAGTGGATTTGTTGTCCACACAAATCCCCTTCTAGTTTAGGTTATTTTTTATTTATTCAAGAATTTGCCTTCCCTTCACAAAAGAAAAGAAAAGGAAAAAACATGGCTTACCAAAATGGACTTAAGCTTCGCAATTATCTCCTGATTAAACCAAAAGAAGCTAGTTTCTCTCGGTTCATCCGTCTTTAGTTTTCCTCCAACTTGCACAGAATAACCTTCGTTGAGTTCTCGGAAGAAGGACAGAAACTTAGAGAGAGCCTTTTATTCAGAATTCTGATAATTGCTTCTGCTGTCTTGCAGAAGCTCCTACTTAAAATAAGAGATCCCATGGCTAAGATTGGCGATCTTCTTGAGTCGTTTCTTAATCTTTACCGGTCAACGGCGGGTTAATTGACCTCTTTTACGTAACTTAATCACAGGTTGGCTATTAATATATTACCTTAATTATATACCTACTTTTTATTACTGTTGGCCTCTTGCAAGCCTAAATGATTATTAGCCTGCAGTATATATTAACTAACTTTTCATGCATCCAAGTATCGTTATTACGCGTGCATTTTGATTTTTTGAAAGCACATGCATATTCATATATAAGTTATATAAATTCATATTTTTATATATGTGTAAATATATATTGTATAACATGTGTAATAATTAATGGAGGGCCTGTGTAAGTAAATGCAGGAAAGGTAGTGTTACCGAGTCCAATACATAAATCTGCATCCATAGTTGGAAACCTTGATGCGCGAGTGGATTTAGACAAGAAAATTACTACGGACGACGATAAATATTTGGGAGCGCTGACTGCGATGGCAGCTAGACTGGCATATGAGAGTGCAGCTTACATTACAAACGTAGTTCAGCTTCATTGGAAGGTAGAAAAAATATTACTAGCTAGTATCTTTTTATGTTCTCTTAATTTTATGTCTCTTAATAAAATCATGTCATGTCAATTAAAATATTTTAACTGTCATGACTTTTAAATTGACGTTATATGACATTTTAATTAAGTGGCTTATATTATTAGAGGGAAATAAAATGAGACAAAAATAAAAAGACACAAAAGTTCATTCCGTCTTTATGTATATACGTACAAACTCACGTCAATTAAAATATTTTAACTGTCATGACTTTTAAATTGACGTTATATGACATTTTAATTAACGTGGCTTATATTATTAGAGGGAAATAAAATGAGACAAAAATAAAAAAGACACAAAAGTTCATTCCGTCTTTATGTATATACGTACAAACTCAACTCTCATCAGAACTAATAATTAATCTAGTTTGGTCATTTCAAATGTTGTTCATTAAAATTTTAGCCATTAATTATACATATAATATATATATGTATGTATTTGGATTATATATGATCAAGATTAATATTGAATATTGATGAGTATAACATTAACCCTTTTTCCTAATTTAGTGTACAGATGCAATTCTTGGGTTTCTATAATTACTGGAATGGTGAGAATGCAAGCTCCTAATTAGATATCCATAGCTTTGAAGATAGATACATACACATACAAAAAACACACACTTATATATTATGATTTTTGGTAACTGGTGGCTTTCTGAATCTTAAAAAAAGCAACCCATTGGTAAAATCTCTCTCTTCGGTCAAAAGTTGGGCAGACGTGGATACATAAACACAAAATTATTCATAATTGAATCATCTTTCTCAATACATTGGTATATATTATTGGGCTAGACGTGGTATATAATATATTGGTATATATATTATATAACAATATAAAAACAATTTATGATATTATGCTCTCTCCTCACAGAGGAAAAAAAATGCTTTCTCCCCAGACACTCGTAAAGTAATGCGGGATAAGATTTGTTTGATATATGCGCTTATGAAAGCAGCTGGTTTAATCAACCTAATATAATTCACTGACAATATATAATTGGAATTTGCGAAGAAGGCAAGGCTGGTTGCTTCTCAGAATCTCTTTCGGCCGGCTGTCATTGTTTGAATTTTCAAAAAATGACCTTAATGATAAATTGGAATTTCTAAATATCCTTTATATACATTTTACTCTAAAACATAATAAAACAAATATATGATGTTTCTATATTGCTCTCATTTCGCTTAATTTGAGGTTTTACCTGTATGTTCCGGTAAGATGCATTAACCATATATAGCACAGAATTCTCCAAAATTTACTTGTAGAGTAAATAAATTACTTGTAACGTATATGTATATTCTAGAGTATAAGATTTTTATAAAATCTTTATAAATTTTGCATACTAGATATATTTTGATGTGGTATCACTTTTAAACACGCATGAATACTGTGGAGACTTATGCGGAGACTTATGCGGTAGGTACTCTATCATATCAGAAATATTTATAAATATCATTTCATATTTTATGAGGCAGAATGGCACGATTATATAAATATATATTAAAAAATTACGATTCCACCTTCTCTTTTCTTATTTTGACCCGCTAATATTTTCTAATTTCAAAATTTTGCAGAATGGTTTAAAATTTCCATTTATACATTTGGTTTTTACTTTTAAATTATATTCTATTATTCCAAAATTTTTTCTTTGTATGATCGTATCTAGCTATTATTTTAAATCTAAAAACAAAGAAAAGTTAGACAATGGTACTAAAGTTCATATATATCTTTGAAGCAAGAAAAAAAAAAAACAATGATATTTATAGATTAATTTAAGAAAAATAGACAGACAAATATTTAAAGAAAAACAATTAGTAGGTTTTAAATATTTATCATACTATTAATCTCGTCGAAAATTTCACTTTAACTTAAGCTCACTAAACAGTTTTTTTTTTTTTTTTTGGCTGAGATAATTATATACAAATAAAAAAAAATTGATGACAAAATTATTACTTCTATCCTAGCAAAAAATAGCACCAAACTCACATTATATTGCAGATAACAGCTTTTCTCTTGTAAGACAAAGTGGACCCTACACCATTGTCCAATGCTTCAGATTACCTCGGAACATTTTCAACACCAGTTTTCATGTTTCAAGACGCAAAGATCAACGCCAAACTGGTAGTCATGGCCTTCAGAGGCACCGACCCATTTAGTGCAGATGGGTGGAGCACGGACATCGATTTCTCGTATTACGAGATCGAGAACGTCGGAAAGGTCCACCGGGGCTTCGCCAAAGCCCTCGGCATAATTCAACAAGACAACACTACGCCGTCCCAGTTGTTATTAGAACAAGGCAAAGATGGCATTGACTTGAAACCCTACGCTTACTATGAGATCGTAAAGCTGCTCAAGGGTATACTGCTACTCAACCGCAATGCCAAGTTTATAGTGACGGGTCACAGCTTAGGTGGCGCATTGTCAGTGATGTTCGCGGCGGCGCTCGCGATGCACGGCCAGGCTGATTTGCTTTGCAGGGTGTTTACACTTATGGACAGCCTAGGGTTGGGGATGAACAATTTTGAACCTACATGGAACAGAAACTGTCAAAGTACAATTTGAGTTACAGTAGGTATGTTTACTCCTTCGACTTGGTGCCGAGGATCCCTTTTAATGACAAAAGTTTCTTGTACAAACCACTTTGGCAAATGCCCCTTCTTCAACAGCCTCTACAATGGGAAGGTAAAAAGGATCTCTCCCTTTGAAATTTTAGTTACATCTCAAAAATTTAAGATATACCATGCATTTCAAATTATTTCAATCACTAGAAAATTAAAAATTAATTTCATTCAATTAAAAAAATTGTGATTGAATTTTTTTTTTTTTAATAGTTCAACATCATCCAACAACTAAAATATGAATTATACACGGCCCAGTTGTTTGGAAAAGAAACTTATATAAGAAATAAACAGTTGTAGAGTCAAATTCTCATCAGTACGAGTTAAGAGAATGAACTTCTGGCCTCTAATTTTCACATTAAGGACACGACGAGCATAAATACCCTCTTTAACTTCTATTTTGATGGATTGAATTTGTTCTTTAAGGAATCGGAGGTTCAATTATAAATCAAACAGTATGACAATTATATATGTGTGCATATAATGTTTCCTAGCTTCTTTGAAATATAGCATGTAAATTTCTAATGAGGATATTTTCAGGTTCTTGCCGATGCACCAAACAAGAACTACTTCTCTTTGATATGGAGCATTCCGAAGCTTCTGTATGCGGTGTGGGAGTTGATTAGGAGCTTCATACTCCCACGTAGAAATGGTCCAGAATATAAGGAGGGCTGGTTTCAGACACTTTATAGGTTGAATGGTATATTGCTTCCAGGAATATCAGCTCATGGCGTTCAAGATTATGTCAATCTTACCCGCTTGGGATCCGTGCCTGCACTTATCGGTCCTTTTGATGAACCGATTAAAGTACTCATACAGCCTTGACGTTACCCGACTGAGATTCCGGAATATCATGTCAATGACTGTCTATGGCCAGCATGGACGGAGCTACATGGAAGCCTATGTGACTCGTGCACTCACTTATTTATTTATCTATTTAATTTTCACTTATAATTTATATAATTTTACAAATGCGCCTCCCATCAAAATATATTTTCTATAAAAAGTGACCATATTTATTTTTTTCTTGAACCAATCCCACTATTTTAAGTTATTTCATTGGTTTTCTTAATCTCCTAGATAGCCACTATTCTTTTGGTTGAATAATCTTAGACAATATTTGATTTATTTTTTATTATTCACTCTTTTCTTCCACGCTTTTATAAAAAGCTTTGTTTGACTTTGAATTAATACTATCGAACAGGATAAGTTTGTGTTGATTAATTATGTGTGAATTTTACTATTTAATCTTGGGGATTAACTTTGATTTGCATATTTATAATTTATTTCTTAAAAAAAATTGTTAGTAACTAGAAGGAAAAAAATAAAAATGATGAGAAATAAAAAAAAAATTTCTTGTGAGTGCCCCTACTGAAATAAAGTCCTAGCTCCATTTTTAATGGCCAGTACTGTTGCATTGCATCAACTTTTTAAAAGATCCCATATTGGTTTTGCTGTTAAAATAAATTGTTAGCTATGAAAAAATTCAGATAATTATTGCTAAGCGTTATTTTGGATTTCAAAAAACAATTTTGAGTGTTTGGTTGGTGCGCTTCGTAAGTTGAAATATGTATATATACATCTTTCTCTTATAAATAAAGTGGAGCCCACGGAATGTTTGAGTGTAATTTGGTGAATATATGTTTAACATTTATTTATAGTGATTTTTATTTCTATATAAAAATCGACCTCTCTTCATATTTTTTTCACAACAAAGTTCTAGGGGCATAAAAAATTTACGAACTGCTTTAAACACTGTTAATTTCCGCCATCAAATTCTTTTATTATATATCAACTTAAAAGGTAAAAAATTCTAAAATAAGAGTTCAAAACTAAAAAAGCAAGTCAAGTGAGTTGAGATAGTGCAGCCTCTATTTTTCATGCTTCAGCGTTAGAGAAGAAAGTAATCTAGATTCTAGATTCATAAAAGCAAGGTTGAGGAGGTAAACTCGACGTATTATATAAAGTGAGTTGAGAAAAAATAGGAATTGAAAAAAGGACAATAAGGATTTGGAAATTTGATTTAGAATGTTAGAGAACAGTGCTTTGCCTACTTCTTAAATTCTAATCATAAGAAGCTGATTTATTAATTTTCAGAAGAAAAAAGGCCGATTATGAAATGTTGAAGATGGAGCCTAATCATTGCACGGAGGAAAAAAAGTGGAGAAAATGGCGCTACGAGAGGGCTGCACAGCAGCCTTGTTAGGTGATTTATTTATCACGAATTTTCTTGGAGAAAATTAGAGAGTGAGGTTAGGAAACATTTATTGAGTGTGAGATAAACACAAAACGAGACTGAGTGATTTTCTCTGTAAAAAATTTCTTTAACTAATTAGTGAAATTTGCGGCGGTAGAAACGATGTATGCCCTTCAAATTGGTGAACTTGTATAAAATCTTTAGTGTGATTTTGTGCTTTTATTCCTCCTTGGTTATTTTTCATTCTCTGTTATTTGTTTAGATTTTAGGCAAATTTTCTCAACATGAAATAATCGGGCCAAAGTCAAATTTCACAAAATTTAACTTATCTTTGATATTTTTTTTTTTTTGTTTTAAATCCAGAAGACCAATCCCCAAGTGGACTGATGTAGGAACCTGAGTGCTGAGTCCATATCTTGCTAGTTTATCTCTTCTTATTTTGCGGTTTAGTCGTTTTAGTGCTTTATGTATTTAAGATCTTTGTTTGTCGTCTTCAAATGCTACTTGCCGGTTTTTGTACGTAAATCCGAACAACCCCAAAATCCAACCCAACTCAAAAAATACAACTTATAATATTATTTTGAGAGAAATAGAGAAATAAGTTAATATTTGAGATGAATTAAAATTAATAGGCCAATAGTTTACATAAGTTAATAAATAGGCCAAATTACTGTTTTTGTCCATAACTTGTCTGGTTATGAACCATAACTTGACAAGTTATTGTCCATAAATCACGGTTTTTGTTCATAACTTGTCTGGTTATGAACCATAACTTGACAAGTTATTGTCCATAAATCACGGTTTTTGTCCATAACTTGTCTGGCTATGAACCATAACTTGACAAGTTTGTCCATAACTTATCTGTTTATGAACCATAACTTGACAAGTTATGACCTATTAATTTCTATAACTAAAAGTTAGCCTATATACTTCCTTAAGCTTTTCATATTAGCCTATTTTCTACTATTTCCGTATTATTTTTTATTTTTCAGCCCACTAAATGTCTAGCCCGAGATGTTTGAAGCGGTTTGTGAGTTGGGCCTATATATAATAACCCACACACCCCAACCCAACCCGTATAAATATGCCTGATAAAGAGCCTATGAGTGTAGACTGATAAGGATATTGCTGTTGCAGTACTTATTTTGAATGGATTTAAATTAAGCCTCTAATTTATATTTGTTTTATGTTTGATGTTAGATGGACTACTTTGCTTCATGTTTGATGTTAGATTGAACTTTGAATTGCTATCTATTTGATGATGGACTAATTAGTATTATTTTTATTTGATGATGAACTTTAAATGTTGGAGTTATGTTTGATTATCAGTATTATTTTTATTTGATGATGAACTTTGAATGTTGGAGTTATTATTTCTATTTGATGATAAACTTTGAATGTTAGATTGAACTTTGATTCTTTGAATGATGAACCCGACCACAAACCCCACCCTGCCCCACCCCAACCCAACCCAAACGTCATTTGATTGTGAAATTTTTCTAACATCGTTGGGGCTAAATATGTGCAACCCGCACCCTTTCAGACAGGACAAAAAAAACAACCCATGTACAGCTTATAATTTTACAAGTTACTTTTATAAGCAATTCTTTTTGTTTGGTGTCATTGTTTGTGGAGTTTTAATAACCCTTTTAAATGCTACTTTGTCGGTGCGTATGTTACTTTCGTAAGCAACTCTTTTGTTTAGTGCCGTTTTTTGTGGCGTTTAACAACCCTTAGGTTGCATTTAGTACGGAGGTTCAAACCATGGTAGTTTTAGTTTTAAAATTAGAAGTATGATTCATTATTTGAACTTGAGATTGAAATTATGATTCTAGAATCAAATTCAGAACTAGGAGTTTGAATTATCTAAAACCAAAAGGAGTAGTTTTATTTTTTAAGGTGATTCTAGTTTAAAACGTTACATTAAAGCTCAAATCTTGAACTAAAATCATTTAAATTAAATACTGATTTTTAAAATCCATTTTTACTTTTTACAACCAAACAGAAGTTTAAACCAAAAACCAAAATCACGGTTCCACTTCTAGAACCCTCGTACCAAAACAAAACGCAACCTTAAAATGGAGGCGGACCTCCTTCAGCCATGGTTTTCGCTTAATCAAGCTTGCACCCTCGTAATGTTGAAGGCGCCATTCTTTTACAAGGATTTTCCCGTAGCCGATATATTGGTGACCGTTCGAATATATATATATATATATGTGTGTGTTTGTGTGTGTGTGTGTGTGTGTAATAGTAACATACAATGCCCAGAGTGGGAACTCAGTAATCTTCATTTCTGTAATTAATGGAATTAAACCCCTTAATCGTTTCTTCATTTGCACAACGAAGGCGAAATGCTATAGTGGAAAAGACATTGAAAAAATAAAAAGTATAAAATCTTATCATTCTGATTTACATAATACGTACATACATGCATTATTCGACTCTCAGTCTCCAAAAGCAGTACTGGGTAGTCTTTCTATTTTCTTGTTTCGGCAAACGTGCGGAGTTACTGATCCTTGTCACACCAAAAATCTATTTCGGACACTGATTTTGTGTCACAATCTTAGCTACTCACTGCTATACATCTTCATGATCGCACTCATTCTGGACACCTTCTTTTACTTAAACCTGTAAAAATGATGAGATAAGAAATCCATTATTGACCAAAACAAATTCATTTTCGCCATAGAACAAAAATGATGAGATAAGATACCTGGCATCGGAGGTCAAGTGGAGCAACAGATAGCTGGATAAGGAATTAGAAAGCGTGGCAAGTAAAACAACCACTCAAAGAACTCATCTGACGGGTTCTACGAAATGATACAGCTTTGTGTGAAGAACTCCTAGTAACTTGGTGAGCTTGGTTAGCTATTGCTGAGCTCCGCATTTCTTGAGCTCTCTTCTGAGCCGATCTCAGCTTCTTCATTATCTTATTCATGGATGATGATCTCTTTTTCTCCAGCTTCATCTGTGGAACATGGATGCATTTTATAAGGCATAATAAAGCAATCCACACAGTAAAGCATGATCCAGACAGCAGAATCGGCAATGTCTTTCTTTTCTTATTGAGAGAACCTCCACTGGCTAGGAGGAAAACACACAATTTATACACCTTGGCATGGAGTTATATAAAAGGCCTACAATTTGTTGAAGGGAAAAAATTTTAAATCCAGCAATCATGAAAATTTATTTTTATCTTTATATGTTTCTTTGCCAGATCAGAAGATTGAAGGGGCGAACCATGAAAGAGAAAAAGGCATTTAGACATCTCTTTTACTTATGAGGGACATTTAAATCTTTATTTTCAAACTTAGAGTGGTAAAAAAAGAAGCTCTGTCTATTCAATATCTTTATGGGGTGGAGGAGATCAAAAGTGGATTAAAACAAATTTTCGCTTATTACCTTTATTAACAATGAATAATATCACAGAGAGTATAGAAAGTATGAGAAACTGGGGGAAGCCCTTTTAATTTCATTTCTCAATGGGGTTTTTTTTTTTTTTTCCTCCTCTTTTTATTTCCTCCAGGGAAACTGGTAACCTCAGATATATGGAGAAATATGTAGTAAGAACCTCTAGCTTCCGTATTGCTGCCTCAGCTTTTGCCTTCTGCAGGTTCTCCCATGCCGTGATTTTAGCTTCCTCTCTTTTAACCCTGAAAAGAGAGGACGTTAACATGCCAATATCATCAGAGACGCGCCTCTATGCATCTTTTGTCTAACACCTCAATCAAATTAGTATTCACTAAAGCAAAAGTATGACTGAAACAATTAGGGCAAGTAACTGTATGCTGCATAAGGACCAACATCGTACTCTAGAAATGGGAGAAGATTCTTAGTCTCAGTGTGGATAAAAAACATAGAGAACCTCAGAACCATTCAAGAGCTCCATGATATCCCTATATCAACTGACATTTTGGAAAACTTCAACCCTCCTCGTGCAGACCTAGAAGCCTAGAAGCCTATGATCTACACATCTTCAATCGCAATTGTAAAACTTGACTTGAGTTAAACGGCAAAGCATTGTGTTACAGGGATAACAAAAACGGCAATATATATCTTTTGCATCATATTTACCCTCGTATTTTTATATCTACCCTTACTTGACCAAGAATAAGAAGAAAATACGCTTGTTAAAGTTGTAAGTCTAAAGTGTGCATACTTTGAAATGCTCTTTGCTGTGTCAGAAAGATCCCAAGCTGGTGATCGTGCATCTCCATCTTTTTTCTTCCAGTTTTCAAAAATTTCAGAACCCTTCACAGGAATTCGTGATCTGTGTTTCTTGGACCACCTAGTCATGGTGACTCGTTCATCTACCTGCACATCCCTGACTTCCAATTTACAAGAAGGGGCACTCTCCAACTCTAGGATAGGCAGGATTGAGGGGGTAGAATCAGAGTAAGGCCCTGTTTTAGGAGATGAGTGGGTGCTACCATCTGGGCTCATCTGGGTAGCCATATCCCTTCTTGAAACTGCACGAGATACATTGGTGGCTGCATCCTTGACCCCATCAAGATTTTCATCTGTACGTTTGAATAGATTGCATGAGGCCCAAGATCACCGATAATGGAGCACAATATTAAGACAATTGACAATATAAAGAAATCCAATTTTAGATTGAAAATAGTTGCGATCTTTATAAAATTGTATTACCTAAATTTAAATAATATTGTTCCAATCAGTTGTTTCAACCATGTTAACCAACTTAAAGCGCACCCCCAAGCAACAGATGGTCAATAAGGAAATAGTAAAAGACAGAAGTGCAGTTTGCAACATGCAAAAGGCTTAACAAGAAGAATCCGAGTTATCAGAAGCCATAACTAGTACGAGACTCGATTGATATCCTACGTAATCCAGTAAAGAGACAGGACCGCCAAAAAAGAAGTGTATTTCTCTAAAATTGGAATAAATAATTTGTGTTTAACGAAAGGAGTGAAAGCGAAGGTATACTTGTGCCTTCAGGAACAGGCACTGAAGACTGGGTCAGCATCTCAGAGCAACCATGGACACTAACTGAACGGGCCATGCAAGGCTCTGTGCGAACAGGAAAGGCTCCACCGTGACCGTTAGTTTGGATCCCCAATCCATCTGCTGCTATAACACCAGCTGAGAAAGGAGAAGCAGCCATGAAATTGCCCACACTACCACCATCAAACATCTGTATGGCTGGCGAGTACAAAGAATAATACGCTATTCCAGGAGGCCCAAGTGGACCACTCTTCGACTTTGGCCTCCTCTGCGGCTGCTGATACGAAGATCTCACCGCACCGTCACCAACCGGACTAAAAATCCATCTCTCAGCGTCCTCCCACTTTGAAGGCAAGGTCTTTCCGCTATTGAAAGGTAACAGCAAAGCATTCGCATGCGTCCGGCCAGCATTGGAATGCAAAGGCACTCGCTCGGAACTCCAACCCTTCTGCATTCCTACACTTGCGTGCCGGTAGTTTGGGGTTCCGGGACTTGGGAAATTACCCGACCTGCGAGAAGTCAAGGACGCCTTCTTGATGGTTACCAATCGAGGTGAAGAAGCAGTTGCATTGTTCAAATCCAAGGAAGCGGGTCGTCGCCTGTCTTGCTTCTTTGATAAAGCTTCAGATCTGGATCTCCGTTCCTGACACTCTACAAAGAAGTGGTCAAATTGAAGCCTTACAACGAAGCTTCACCTAAAATACCGACTCTATGGTTAAATTGAATTTGAAATTCTTTACCTTTGAGGGCCAGAGAAAAGGAGCTCCTAGCAGAATCAAGAGCTACCTCCCCATCGCTCTCTTCTTTTTGAACTGCGAAAAATATTTGAGTTGAAAGGAAAACAGTGTTAAGCCAGCTGCTAGAAAAGGACTTTCGAATTTCGATTTGAAAAATTCGCTAAAAGACGTCGCTGGTTGTTTCACTTTAAGAGAAAAGTTACGATTATAGCTGTACCTTTCACTTTTTTGCCTTTTCTATTCCTATTGATGTGAATAGCGGGTTTGTTTGGATCTGGATCTGGACCACTTGAACTCTCTTGTTGCTCACTATCTTGTGCTGCAAAATGCTGCATCAATTCACCACTACCTTCAGATTCATCATCTAGATTCTCTCTCTCAGAAAAAGCGGAAATATAATAATGACGAACAATATTTACAAAAAAAAAAAAAAAAAAAAAAAAAAAAAAACACAAAAAAGTTTGGCGCTCCAGAAAAATCAAATCTATAGCCATTTCTCTCTTCCAAGTTTCTAGTCAAACGAAATTGACCGACTCCAAAATAACATCAACTTACACACTACTGAATATTATGGTTAAGCGATAGACTACATTATCCATTCTGCTTTTGAATTTATACGATCATTCACGCACATTGATAGCTAGCTCGTCGGAACAAGAAAAATCGAACATGCAACACTTCCAAAACCTAGTGGATCGGAGTTCAAAACATTCTGTTTCTAATCAAAATCAACTCGCATTTTTTCTCCGACGCAAAAACATTGGCAGCAGAAGGCTCGGAAATTACCAGAGAGATCTCGGAGACGATGGAGTCGTGGTCGTGGGCGTCGGAGGCGAATGAGCAGCGGTCGACGCTGGCGGAGGCGGAAGAGAAGAGGCTCAAGTTAGACTCAAGCGTGAAGATGACCGAGTCGGGGCTGGCGTCGCGTGCTCTGAGGCCGGATCTCGCCGCCGCCGGCAACAACGAGCTCTGCTCCGGGAAACCTAGCTCCGGCATTGTGGAAACCCAGTCCACATACACACGAAGACAAAGAAGAAAGCGAGATTTGAGATTTAAGAAAGATTTGAGAATCGTGGTTATTATATATAAGAGGGTCAGAGAATCTCTACGTACAAAATGGCGGGTATAATAAAGGAATTTCCCTGTGTCCTTCTCAATTACTATCTTTATTCCAAAGCACGCTTAATTAACTCCAAAAAGCTAGTTTGTTAAACAAGAAAATGGGGGGGCAAATGACTTTTCGAGGGTGAAAATGAAAACTGATAATTACCCCGAGAAAAGACCAAAAAATATATATATATTTTTTTTTTTTTTTGGGGTTCAATTTTTCGCTTCTTTTAATGGTGGGTCTTTTTATTCAAGACTCTGACTGTGGAATTGACTAAAAAGTAAAATGACAGCAGAGCCCTTGGATCATATGCCAGATTTTGCTTTGTCATGGCTTTTGAAACTTGGGGTTATGTCTATGACTTGGTGGGGGACTTTCTCAGTTGTTGAAAAGTTCCTGCGGATCAGGACAAATTTTGTGGCAGAACGTTATAATGGTGTCCTCTGTCACTTTCACTGAGTGGGTATAAAATTTTACCGTTGAAAGAAAAATGGTACAAAGAAGGGGGTTTAAAATAGTATAAGCTTTGTTGCACGGAGGCATTGAATCTGGTTGTTTATCCATTACTGAAAAATAGTATGGATCGGAAAATTGTGGTTTTGATTAAAAATACATTTTCGGAATATAAAGTGATAAAAGGGTTGTTTAATTGGTTGATTTAAATTTTTAATTTAATTTGAAATGTGATTTTATGTGATAATTTTTTAATATAATAAGAAAGTTATATATGATTATTTTTAAAATAATTTTACTGTAGCATAACTAAAGTTTACTTTTTAATCATATCTTCAATTATTATAATTTTGAAGGAAAAAACATTTGAAGTTATCAATACGGACAACATCATCAACCACAGAAGAAACTCAGGACTTGTTCATTTGTATTTTTTGAGTTAAGATGATTTGAGTTCGAATCTTGATTTTAGTTAAGGTGTATTTGATGATAGTTTGAGTTGAGATTTTAATTTAAGTTTGTGTTTAGATGTGCACATTTTGAATTATGATTTGAATTGAAAATCTATTTGAGTTTATATTTGGGTGGGTCAAAACTTAAATTTATATTTGAATAGTATTTTAATAAAAACTCAATGGTAATGAAAAATTTTAATAGGCTATATGGATGATGTTTTATTCGTCTTTTCGTTGTGAACGCATAGAAAAAAAAATCATCTCAATCGGAATTAAAACGAAAAAGTTATAGCGTTTTTAAGAATAGAAAAAATATTATTCATTAACTTGAGTTTGAGTTTAAAAACTTGAGTTAACGGGAGAGCTTGAACTCAGATTTTAACATCAAACTCAAGTTAAAACTAAAAATTTAAATTTAAATTTTACAAAAAAATATGAACTTAAATATAATTATAATTTGAGTTCAAAATTTGTTTGAGTTTGAGGACAAACGAACAAGTCCTCAATTTCTTGTGCAGTTGTGCGTATATTGTCCCCCTTAGAACATACAAATAGCAGTCCAGGGATGGGAACCCATCTTTCATGAAAAAAAAAAAAAAAAAAAAAATCAAAGATCTAAAGCTGCTGCTTGCGACATGCCTTTTGTTGATAATTTCTTTTCTTTTGTTGTTAACAAGTTTGTTTGGTCAAAATTCATATTAGTGCCAATACCATCAATTCAATTATTTTAGCATCTCACTACACTCAAATTATGTGCAGTAAATTAAAATCCAATTTTCCATTTTGGAAAAATAAAATCTTACTTTTAAGTAGTTCGTATGATTGTCACACTTCTCTGTACCATTGATTGCCTTCTGTTCTTGTACGATTGATTGCCTTATGTTCTTAAAGCCTTAGCTGTAAATGGTAAATGCAACCCTTTTAGCTCAAGGTGCGTATCCACCTAACATTATTGATTAAGAAATCGTATTAATTTGTTGATCGCTTGATTTAACTTGCAATTTAATTTTTCAACTTTTTCGTTCCTATTTATTCCGAACCTAAGTATGTTTGATAGAAGCGAGAGCACAGTAGAGGGAGAAAGTGAATCTCTTGTTTAGTAAGAAAGAAAAGAGGAGGAAGAAAATCTCCATTTGAGTCCACCATTTTAGATCCTTCCATTAATTGAAGAATCTAACCAATTTATTCAAATTTTTAAAAAAATACTTTTCAACCTTTCAAAATAAATTATTACAAAATAATAAATTAGATAATATAATAATTAAACGAATAATTATCATCCATCATTTTAACTCTTTATCTATCTAACCAAACAACACAAAGAATTATCATAATCCTCTCCATCCTTTTTACTCTTCATTCTTCCAACTCTCTTCATCCTTTCTATTTTCCATCCCTAGCCCATAATTTTCCAAGTCAGCAATTGTCTGTCAAAGACTATTAAAGAACCAAAGCCAACAACAATGGCTATAACAAAAATGGAAACTCGTGATTATTCTTTTTTAATAAAGAAAATAAAAAATCGCGGAAAGAAAACGTATTCTTGTGTGGTGTATGAATTCAAAACCTTATTGAAAAATTGATAATTTTACCGTCTTACCAGACGACCGTGATTCGTGATTCATGATTGTTTTGATATCGCATAAAGATTGACCCGTTATTTTATCGCCACTGATTATTTATCACCTACTGAGATCCTGAACCTATCAGAAAGAAAAAAAAAAAACAAGCACCCCAACAACAACATCCACTACTGCAGAATTTTGTTTGTCTTAAAAAAATAAAAATAAATAAAAAAAGTACCCTTAAGGATTCTGTTTCACGTGAAATGTGAAAAAGAATTGTCCTATAAATCAGCGTTCAGAATTCACCTCCAGCTCTTATTAATGAGAAAAATGACTCATCGAAGGGTGTGTATTTATCGAGAAAAGAGCTTAGTGCTGAGCCATAATTATGTCCAACCCACGGCACTAAACCAACCAACCAACCTGGACTAGTGCCGGTCAAACCGGGTTTGTGCACCTCTGAGGAATCATTTAAAAACTTGATTGTGCTCGTTTAGTGCCCTTACACTCGATGATAAAGGTTCTAAACCTAACTATTATCGAAATCATGCTCAATTACAAAGCTCAACAACTTTGAAAAAGAAAAGAGTAGATTTAAAAAAAGAGACTTTTTCAAGCAGACCTTCCTACCGGTATTACAAAGCTCAATAATTTTTTTTTTTTTTTTTTAAAAGAGTAAATTTAAAAGAAGACTTTCTTAACTAGATTTCCATATTAGTAGTATCAATTTCTAAAATAGACAGTTTTTAATTTGAAAAATAAATAATTATTAGTATTTTATTTTTTCTGAGGCTACAAAAAAACAAAAACAAATGATCAGATTGCATTCAATATTTTGAATGCTTCTTCAGCAAAGAGAACCCGCTAATAGGCTAGTTTTTATGGTAATCTGAAGGGCATTAACTATTCAGGTCAGTGAATGGTTGTGGCTTTTACCTCGCTCATGACGACTAAAAGCTTCCAAATTTTCAACCCATGCAAATCAAGAATTAAGAGACCTTTGGTTCATGAATTAGAATCATGTGATTAGAACCATTTTTAATTTACGTGTATTTTTTATGAGAGAAAATACTGTAACGAATTATAAACCATTATTCAAATCATGGTTTGAATCCTTCAACCAAACATCCCCTTAGAGACTGCAAAACAATGGGTTCAGGGTTAAGGTTGGTCCTTAAACCTACATGAACGGATTACCCCAACCGTATGAGTCAACTTCGGCATTTTCAAGACATAAGTTTGATGGAACTCAATCAATAAACTAGTCTACGATATAAAAGTTATGTTGTAAGTTTATAGGTGATGTTGGTTTAAATGTCAACCATCAGCATTTTCTTTAGTGTTCTAGTGAATCAGTGTACAGGATTTACTTGATTAAATAATTAATCAGAAATCCTTGACTCAAATTAGATAACCCAACTCTGATTCTCATGTAATAAACTAGAAAACATATTATAAATATGAAAGACCATATACATTAGGGGCAAATATATATATGTGTGTGTGTGTGTGTGTGTGTATAAAAAAGGAGGGCAAAACCATAAGTCGATCACAAGCAAGTAGGCTTTGTCTTTGAGTTATCTTCTTTTTCTTTCCATCTCCATTGGATTCATAACTTTGAAGTCGAACACGCAACCGACTATGCAGAAGCTTCCTCCTTTGTAAACGCCCTGTTTAACAAATTAAAGTACATTACACGCGAACTGTCCTTCCAATAATAAATAATTTTCACGTATTTCAAAAAATAAAAAATGAAAAAAATCACGTTTATTTAGTAAATATTTTAAAAATAAAAATAGTAAAAATAAAAATAATGAGAATAATTTTTGTAAAAAAATTAAAAAATAATTAAAAGTTATTTTTACTTTTCTGTTTTTATTTTTTAATACTTATTAATAATATTATAATATATTAATTAATAAATAAGATTTTACTTTTTTATTATATTCAAAACAATCTCTTAAAAAACTAACCAAACGCAATGTCATAGAATGATTCTAAAAACAATCTCATTTTTAGTTTTTATTAAAGACAAAATCATTTTAAAACTAATTCTAAGCGCACCCAATGTATGTTAAGAAACTAGAGGGGGTGGTCCAACAAACTCAAGATTTTCTTTTCTGCAATTTTTTTTTTTCTTTTTTGGTAAATATAGAGTAGCTACAAATATTAAAGTGAGCGGTCCACAAATACTACAGGCCAAAACAAAAACAAAAATCATAAACCTACAAGCTCAAACTCCATTTATGAGAGCTGAACCTGTATTCCAACTTTCACCAAAAGTTTTACATCTGCAGAAACTCTAGCAAACACACAACGGATTCATGTTCGAATCATGGTTAATAGCTCGCTACAATATTTTCTCTCACAAAAAACACACGTAAATCAGGAATAGTTCTGAATCATGATTCTGAATCCATCAACCAAAAGAGCTGTACTTGAAAGCTTAAACACAACCGCTTGTAATCCTAGAACCTAACTACATATACCCTTTTATTTATTTTTTTATGCATAATCAAGAAACAGTTAAGACAGCCATAGGCCAGCTGTTGCATCGCCTTCCCCAATAAGACTCGGATCCAAACTCCAGATTATCATTTTAAGCAAATAAAGGAAACGAGGCCAACTCTATCTCTACGTCTAATGGGTGGTTGCACCATCCAATTAATTACCCAATTATGTGTTTTTAGAGTCTGCCGGTTATTCATTAGGCCTTTTCTTTTATCAATAAAAGCCACTACCCATTAGATTTAAGACTAATAATTGCAAAATTCCATACGCAATACCTTGTTTCACTACTATTTCGGATGAAAACCCTATTTGGACACCTCATAATACAAGCAACTTTAAATACCGAACAGCTTAAGGGAACCTTGGTAGTAAGTACGCTAGCGGCTAGCCGCAAAGAGCAGGAAAATTTCTACCAACACGACTTACATGGAATAGATTCTTAACCCAAACGCCAAGCATGATATACAGTTTTGTATAATATTATAGCTTACCGAGCTATACAACACTTGATAGCTGAATTTTCCTGGCTACTTCGAGAGCTGATTAATATTCACAAAAAGTCCACCACCCCTTTTCATGATATAAAGGTGAATGATGTTGGTTTCCTGTAATTGCCGTATCAACGAAGTAAGCAGTTATGGCCTTTAACTTTCCATTTACAAAATTCTTCTCCACCTGAAACCAAAGATCTTTGCCCTCAGATATAACAGCATAATAACGCTATATGCACAAACAAGAAGCATAAAGTACAACCCAAGAACATGAAACTAACAGATGCTTTGACATTTACGATAACACCGTGAAAGAAACATCATCTGTGCAGTCTTTTAACATTTACAATAACACACCGTGAAAGAAACATACCTCTAGTGACCATGGCGGACTAGATAACAGAGACAGCTCTGCCAACTGGTTGAGATCAACATTTCTTGGGAGAAACATTACAACTTTAGGAGCGATCTTCTTTGCAGTATTAAAGAGAAAATATCTGCACACGTACATGGCAAAACCACAGAGAGTTAAAGACGGGGCAAAGGGCTTTTTATGACAGCTCCGGAAGCTAAAATGAAGTATGACATACCCATCATGTGGCTTAAGCATTGTTTTAATGTCATAAGTCTCCACTTTAGCATAATCAGGTCCCCCCCATGGAGGTGACAAGAAGACTATGTCTGCCTGCAGCCCCAGAAAAAAAAAATCTTGATCAAATAGAAAAGCTATACTGGATTCAAGGATATAAGCAACCAGAAGAAATAAAATAATAATAATAAATAAATAAATAATAGAAGGAGAACACACAATTGTAAACACGTCAAGAGAAACTTTAGTACCTTCAACCTTGGAGCCAAAAGGAAAAAATCCCCTTTAACAAAATCTATTCGATCATTTACCCCATAGATGGTAGCATTATGGTGGGCATATTCAATCTTCTTTGGATCAATATCAACTGCAGTTACATGTTCACACCTGAAATACCATGGAACATAAAAATATGAAAAGGACATACAAACATTTTTTTTTTCTCTGTGCGTGTATGTATGTGCATTGATGTTGAATGTTCATTAGCTGCACATAAAGACATAGAGACATTTCATAATCTGCTGTGAGCATGTGTGCAAATTTAATCAATTTTTTTGACCAATCAACTACGCTCATAAACCATTCACAATATGATCTAATCATTCAAAAAACCACGTTCCTAAACAAACAAGGTAGAAATTAGGGCGTAGGCTTCCCCTATCAATGATGATATCATGATATCAGAACCACTCCAGACATATTTGTGATCACTACATCAGCTTCATCCGAAAAGGAACTTTTGGCATAACAAAGAGAGTTCAGAATATTTTCATATAATACATTATATAATATTCACCTCTGTGCAAATTGGATAGCATTTCCACCCACACCAGTGAAAGAGTCAACTACTGTGCCACTACCACAACGAAAAGCATGGTGTCTTGCTAGAGGCTCTGGAGTCACAGAAAACCATCCTTCCTCGTCCATTTTTATACCATCATCATATCTGGAAAACAATAGATACCTCTGCCACCAGTATTTTCCAATACCATCAGAAAACTCTACCAGCTCTTGAAACTTACGTGCTGCAAATGATCAAATGAGAACTGCCTCATAACAGTACAACAAAAATAATAGAAAAGTCGAGAGGAGGCAAGAGAATTTCGCCAAATTATTTGTGCAAGAAAAATCTTCACAAAAAGATGAAGAACAAAAATTATGCACTCTCTTCAAACAGGAAACCAAAATCAAAGGCATGATAACTAGTTAGCAGGGGTGTAAAACATGAATCATTAGGCACCTCACTCAAACCCAACTTCGACTAATTTGACATTTGAAAGAAACATGAAATTAAATGCATCTGAGATGGTATTATGCCATTTCTACCCTTATTTGTGCCAAATATAGCATTGGTAGTCGCATTTGCAATGGAGATGGTCTTACAATAAGTAAGAAGCTAAACTACAAACCTTCCTTTTCATTTGAAATTTTTCTCTGGTTTTTTGTTTTCCTCGCTTTCTTTTTACGTTTTGTGATAGAAGGGCCATGCTGGGTATCCAACGGAATTGCTGGAATTCCATCACCTGAATACATACAACTAACCACAGAAAGTGCTTCAGTGACTACGGAACAAGCTGAAATGGAAACATAATGAATCAATTAATGGAGTCACTAGTCAGGAAGAAGGGCTCAAAAAACCAACACCAAGAAAATTCATCTAAATTGTGCATGCTTGTATCTAAGGTTTCAAACACTTACTTATCCAAAAAAAAAAAAAAAATCAAAGACTATATCTTCATGACTTTCTCACGTCTCCACAAAAGATAATTTTATAAGGTTCATCACTGCAAATAGATTCTATGGCTGATAAGATTTAGTAAAAACTGAGTGAAAACTACATTTATAGTTAAGACAAAAGTATACCTTGATAATAAGCATTCGTCGTTTTCATTACCAGTACCATAGGTCTCGCAGAGTTCGTCCAAATCGTCAATATTTCTGCCACGAGTCACAGGCAGAGGATTCAATGCAGACACGTAATTGCAAGCAGTAAGTCCAACCCCCTCCAAGATCTCATCATATACCAGACCAACTAATAAGTTATTATCCATAGATTTCTTAAATTGAACTTTATTTTGCGAAATGCATAAATCTGGTGCATTTATAGTAGGACTAGCATCCATCTCGGTTAACTCGGTAACTATTTCATTTGAATTACATTTGTTGTCACAGATTGCTAGATGTTCCATTCCTTCCGGTGGATACCATGTTGAAGTCTGTGTTGTGTTATTATAAAAGTAGTTTCTAGAGTAGTACGAATCCCAACACACGATCCAATCTCCGAAATCACCACTGCATTCATACTTTGCAGTTCCATCAACGACAAGTGTTTTAGAGGAATATGCAGCTGATTCAGGAACCTCTAGCTCCTCGGTGCCATTGCCTTCACAAATACTTCCATATGCTGCTTCATGCAAAGCAGAAGAAGAAACTTCTAAAAGGTTACACCCCTTTATTCCATCACCTTGCTCTGTATGACCATGTTCAGCGACAACATCGGTCAAGCAACTTCTAGAGGAAAGTCCAGTGTCAGAGCTAGTAGAATTTACTGCATTTTCCCCGTGATCTTTGGTCTTAACATTTCTGTGCTCAGAGTCTGAATCTTGGTCATCAGCACCGACGGTGCAAAGTATCCCAGTATGATTTTGTTCCTTGCCAGAGACACAAAGGAGCTCAGACAAACTTGCTGGATTATCTATATCCTGAGAAGATGGTTGATAAATATCAGCGCCTGCTGCAACATCAGAGTGAGATGATTCACTTTGGCCGACTAATGACGTACAGAATAAGGGATCACTTGCATTATCATGAAACACGGAAGAAGATGTAATCTCACTCACACTCACTTTGGAGGACTCCACTGCTTCACCAAAAGTGTCTTGACAAGTGTCTGTATGTTTCTGCCGCATGCCCTTTCTTTTTCCTTTAGTCTTTCCACTCCTTTTCTGCAAAATGTTGTCAAATAACGTCACCACTTTAAGGAATTAGCAGAGAAAGAGAAAACACTCTCATAGAGTTTTCTTGCTTTATACCAATACAGCAAAGCAGCATTTTCTCCTGCTTGAAAATGTGAGAAAAAGAAAACCCCATCGTGTACTATACAATTCGACTATAAAATTCAATTGAAACGTTTGGGATCTGGATTGAGTACAGTATTGGATTTAACAAATAGAAGGGGGTAAATTAGTACAACCCAGAACATCTAATTTTCACGGGGGCATTAAGGAAAGTCTAATTTCAATACTCCAAAATAGAGTTACCTCTTTGTTTGTGTTGAAAGAGAGAGGAAGTCCCAGTGCATTCATCTGTCGAGTAAGTTCCTCATCCTCTGATAAAACATTGGCATCTGAATCACCCAGAAAAAGACCACTTATAACACCGGTGTTAGCAAACAAAATTGAGCAAATAGATAATTAAGCAGCAACTCCAATTATAAATAAAGAAAGGACTCACTAACCTGTACTTGTAAAATGGACGTCTGAATCCTTATCATTGTCATCGTCACCTTCCTGAGCTGCTTTCTGCAAAATTAACAAACAAAAACAATTTCCTAAGAAACAACCAAATAAAATCAAAATAGAATACTCATAACTCAAGAACAATGCGTGCAGTGTCTGCCTGGAAAGAAGACCGATCTCGCGCCTCCGCCGACCCATCGTCCCTGCCGAACGAGCAGTGAGGTTAAAAAATTTCGAATTTTGTTACTCAAAACAAACTCAAATGCCAGAGTCTTTGGCGATTGCAAAATTAATCAATATACGAACAAGAGAAGCGCACCATAAATGGATTTCAGTGAGCCTGAAGAGAGAGCCGAGGGCTATAATAGCAGGACCTTGGCATTCGGGCTCGGACACCTCCATAGATGAACACAGAAGAGAGTCGGGTCTAATTTAGGGCAAGCAGAGCAGCATTAGCAACGGTACTTGTTTTCAATCCCGCCCTCATCAGCTTTCCGTGATGATTCAAAGAATTTAGGACATCGGCGGTGCGTGCGCTCCACTCGTATCGTGTATGTGTGTATAGGTTTTTTCTTGGGTCCCTCCGGAGGGACCGTCCCTCTCCAACGTAACATGTAAGCCTTGTTTCTTTTATAACTCGAGTTTTAAGTATAACATAGACATTGTTCATTTTACAAAAGTTTTAAGTTGTATATATGAGAAAAAAAATATTGTAATAAAAAAATTAAATTTAAATTTTAGTGTGAAAAATACTATATAACAGTATAACTTAAATTGTGATTGGAGTTGTAAAATGAATAAGATCATAATTATGAAAACATAACATAATTACTAAACGTAACATCAAAGTTATATTTAAATGAATAAATTTTTTGGTGTTCTTTTTGACGTTAATGTTACATTTAATAATTGTCGTGTTATATTTTCATAAATATGTATTACGTTTAAAGGAAAAAAAAAAACCTATATATATGCCATCAAGCAACGCACTATTAAGCTCAGTGTGTTTGGTATGCACGAAAAGTGGAAGGAAATAAAATGTTGGAGGGATTTTGGGATAGAAATTGAGAAGTTAGCTTGTTTGGTAGAGAATAAATTGGGAAGGAAAGAAAAATTGAATGGAAATTTTTATTGGTGGGTCTCACCATATTTAATCCCTCCAAAAGTGGGTGAATTTTATGAAGGAAAATATAGATAACTACACAAATAAAGTCAAATTACTGAGTTGTCCTTATTTTTCATCTAAAATTGTCCTCATTTGGACAAAAAAATAATTACACCAATAATATTTTTTCCATCCCTTTAGTTTCAATTCCAATACCAAACAAGAGAATGTAGAACTATTTTCTTTCTTTCTTATCATACTAAACAAGTCAAGAGAAAATTAAAATATTTTTTATTCTTCTAATTTTTTATGCATTATAATTTTCTTTTTTCCTCTCATTTTCTTTCTTTCTTACTAAATAGAGTGTAAAAGTCACGTCATCTCTCTCTCATATTTTTGTTTTATATTCTAATGATTCAAATTAAATCAATTTTAAAAAAATTATAAAAAATAAAGGTTTGTTATTTTATAAAAAGTTAAAGGTTTGAGTTAACAATAGGTTTGAGTTTTTTTTTTATTATTAAAATATAACATTTGAGATTTATAATTAAATTTGAGTTAGAGGTAGAAGAATGACTACTAGTGCCCTTTTTTTGTTACCCACCTGCTAAACCATCCATGATTTAACCGTCATTTTCTATTGAACCTGCTATGTATAGGATTTCAAAATTTAGAGGATTAATTCCTAAAATTTGTAGTTTAGGAACTGATTTACAAAATTCAGGGGGTCCTATACAAAAAAGCAAATTATCTATACAGATGACACAGATAAGAGCAGCAAGATACCACAGCAAATAACATAAGATAAAATAAACAACAAAAATTGCTTAACGGCAGACAATATGAAAACAACGCAATATTGATGCCATGAGAGGAGAATTTGATTAAAATAACCAAGTGAAAAAGTAAAATTAGGAAAATGACTTTTTTAATTTTAATTTTATTTATTTCTTCTCCCGCCGGTCTCCTTCCGCCGGAATCAATGGCAACACTTCATTTCTCTCTCTTCTTTTCTTTCTCTTTCTCTCTCTATTTTCTTCAACCTTTTTGGTAGCTTCCAATCCAAAAGCAAAGCACTCCAAACAAAGGAAACCGAGATTAGAGTAGTTGAAGAAGATGGAGAAGAAGGAGAAGGAGAGAGGGTGATCATGAATGTCATGGTTGTGGATTGTTTTGGTGAGCTTTCTTCTACGCTCGTGGCTTTAAGAAAAAGCAAAAAAAAACAAAAAACAAAAAAGTCATTTTACAAATAAAAATTTTTAAATTGTCATTTTATGAATAAAATTTTTCTATTAGGTTATTTTTACAAAGGCCTCCCGTGAGAGAAACCAAAACAAATGTTAAAAAACGTTGATAAAGTGAAACATGACATCACAGTGAGGAAACAACGACAACAACATTAAAAACGACAATTAAAAGGTTTACGTCTTCTCTATATAAGAAGAGAGGATAGCCTTAGCAAATTTTTGTACAAATTATTCTCATTCGTACCTGGGTCATTTTTAGTTTATCTTTTCGAAATTTTAAAAACTATAGTTTTACCTTGTGAATTTTAAATTACTTTCACTTGACTTCCTTTCTTTGAATTTCCATAAAAGAAAAAGTGAACTTTCGTTTATTCGAGTTAAAAATTTGAGTTAAAAAGACTTGGGGTTGTTTGGCAGCCTAAAACTTAAGTAAAAAACTTAAAAAAAGTAACTCGAGTTACAACTTTATTTAAGTTTATGTTCTTTTAAGTTTGAACTCGAGTTTTGTTTGGGACTAAAACTCGAGTACATGGACGTTTGGAAGGAGGATTCGGGCCCTGATTCGAATCATGGTTCGTGGCTCGCTATAGTATTTTCTCTCACAAAAAATACACGTAAATCGAAAATGATTTTAATCTCATGATTCTAATCCATGAACCAAACGTCTAAACTTTCCCCTTCAACTCGAGTTCAGAAACTCGAACTCAAATTAATGAACAGTATTTTTTATATTCTTAAAAATTCTATAACATTTTCGTTTTAATTCTTATTGAGATGATTTTTTTTTCTATGCGTTGACAACGAAAAGACGAATAAAACCTCACCCATATACCCTATTAAAATTTTCCATCAGCATTGAGTTTTTATTAAAATATTATATAAATACAAATTCAAGTTTTGACTCACTCAAACACAAACTCAAAAAGATTCTTATCTCAAACCATAACTCAAATGTACACAACCAAACACAAACTCAAGTTACAACTTCAACTCAAGTTATAACTCAAACTCAACTCAAAATCTACACTTAAGTCACTTAACTCAAAAATGGCAAAAGAACAACGTTTATTTGCACCTAAACTCAAAAAAAGTTTGAACTCAGGTTATAATTTTATTCAAATTCATGTTCTTTTATAAAATTTGAGTTTAAGTTCCTCTTTCAACTCAAGTTTCTAAATTCAAACTCAAGTTAATGAATAATATTTTTTCTATTCTTAAAAACTCTATAATTTTTTCGTTTTAATTCCGATTGAGATGATTTTTTTATGCGTTCACAACAAATAGACGTATAAAACACCACCCATATACCCTATTAAAATTTTCCATCACCGTTGAGTTTTTATTAAAATATTATCCAAATACAAATTTAAGTTTTGACCTACCCAAACACAAACTCAAATATATTATCAATTCAAACCATAACTCAAAATGTGCACATACAAACACAAACTCAAATTAGAGTCTCAACTTAAACCATACTCAAATATACCTTAACTCAAATCAAGATCTGAACTCAAGTTACCCTAACTCAAAAAGTGCAAATGAACAAGCCTAAAAAGTGAATTCATGCGAGATAAAACGTTGTAGCATAAAAAGTTAAATTTGAATTTTTGTGACACTGCAGTAAAAATTTGAGTTGTAATTCGAACTAGCGAAACAAACTGAGTTCGTTTCGTTAGTTCGAATTACAAATCAAGCTTTTGCTACAGTGTTTCTCTTAAAAAATAAATTTAACTTTTTCTACTACAATGTTTTCTTTTACGTGAATTTACTGGGCTTATTCAGTTGTATTTTTGAGTTATGGTGACTTGAGTGTAGATCTTAAGTTGAATTTGAGTTATAATTTAAGTTGTAATTGTAACTTGAGTTTGTGTGTTTAGATGTGCATATTTGAGTTATGATTTAAATTGAGAATCTATTTGAGTTTGTGTTTGGGTGAGTTAAAACTTGAATTTGTATTTAGATAGTATTTTAATAAAAACTCAATAGTGATGAAAAATTTTAATAGAGCATATGAGTGAGGTTTTATTAATCTTTTCGTTGTAAACGCATAGAAAAAATCATCTAAATCATAATTAAAATGAAAAAATTATGATATTTTTAATAATAGAAAAAATATTGTTCATTAACTTGAATTTGAGTTTAAGAACTTGAGTTGAAGGGGAAAATGAACTTTAAATTTTAGCTCTAAACTCAAGTTAAAACTCAAGTTTAAACTTAAAAGTTATAAAAGAATATGAATTTAAATAAAGTTGTAACTTGCGTTTAAATTTTTTTAAAATTTTACTTTAAAAGAACAAGTCAAGTCATGTGGATCTTTTCGTTTGTTTTCTACATAAATTCTAATAAAATTAGTTAAGTAAAACTAATTCTTATTTTTTTTATCAGTTCTTAACGAGAATTCTAATAAATAAAATTAAATGAGATTAATTTAAAATTTAAAAGATAAAAATGAGATTTTTAAAATTCATGGGTTAAATGTCCTTGTAATTTCAATTGGCACAGGTGAAAAATCCACAATAAAGGCATAGAAGAGAACTAACAAAGGAAAATGAGTATATAACTGTGTGAGTCATGTACCAATTTTCGTTTAAGAAAAATTAACGCGACCGACAAATAGGGTAATTTTGTTATATATTTCCAGTTTCAGGAGGTTAATTGCTAAACTTATTGTCAGGAGATGCACATCGACAATAAACGAGAAATTCATGGGAAAATAGTGAAAAAAGGGCCTAATAAACAAGGGGAAAAGAAAACATGTCAAATGACAAAACGACACCAAAATGAAGGGCTAAAGTAGAATACAAGAGGAGGGACGAGAGAGAAAGTCTAAAACCTAAATGGAAGTGCTGCAGCGGTAGTGGCGCAACAGTCTCTACTCTATCCTCAGCCAACCCAGAACAACGCTGCGGAGGCCGTGAACCACTGAATACGAAGAAGAAGGAAAAAATGGAAGACGGGGAGGTCGAGGAGGGGATGTTCATCGAAGAAGACGATTCGCATTCAGAGGTTGAGCCCAGGGTGGAGAAATCTCCATGCGAATTGCTTAAAGAGAGCAAGGCTTCCGTCGAGGGTATCGTCGCCAAAATGCTCTCCATTAAGAAGGAAGGCAACTCCAAATCCGACCTCACTCTCAGAGAACTCGCCACTCAGATGTTCATCCATTTCGTCACTCTTCGTCAGGTCCTATTCTAGGGTTTCTTCCTCATTGATTACTCAAGAATCTAGGAGGAATTTATATGTTATCATGCTAATTCTGACTCACTTTGCCCTAATTTGTTGATTTCGAATTTGCAGGCGAATCGTTCGATATTGCTTGAAGAGGATCGAGTGAAAGCGGAGACGGAAAATGCCAAGGCGCCAGTGGATTTCACGACTTTGCAGCTTCACAATCTGATGTACGAGAAAGGTCACTACATCAAAGCAATAAAGGCTTGCAAAGACTTCAAATCGAAGTATCCAGATATTGAGCTTGTTCCCGAGGAAGAATTCTTCCGCGACGCGCCTGAAGATATACAAAATTCTGTGTTATCGAATGATAGCGCACACAATCTCTTGCTGAAAAGGCTCGACTTTGAACTCCTACAGGTGATTATGGTGTTCATAGCTAATTTCAATTTATTGTTTTAATTGCTTTCCTGAGCATGGAATGATGAGTACTAACGGTTTGTTTACTTCAGCGAAAAGAGCTATGCAAACTTCGCGAGAAGCTTGAACAACATAAGAAAAGTCTTCAGGAGACGATTGCGAATCGGAAAAAGTTCTTATCAAGTCTTCCGTCCCACCTCAAATCGCTGAAGAAAGCGTCCTTACCAGTACAGAACCAATTAGGGGTGCTGCACACTAAGAAGCTGAAGCAGCAACACTCAGCAGAGTTGCTTCCACCACCTCTCTATGTGCTTTACTCGCAGTTCTTGGCCCAGAAGGAAGCATTTGGGGAACAAATTGAGCTGGAGATAGTAGGAAGTGTCAAGGATGCACAAACTTGTGCTCACCAACAAGCTAATGTGGACACTGGTAACTGTTTTCCGAACCGTTTTTCTTGGTTGTTCCAAAGACGAAATACTGATGTCGTTTGAATATTGTGTGGTTCAGGCATTTCTAACAGCCTAGAGAATTCTAGAATGGAGGATGATGTAGTGGACGAGGAAGATGATGGCCAGAGAAGGAGAAAACGGACAAAGAAGATTCCAACCAAGGACAACCTCGACCAGGCAGGAGTTTATCAAGTTCACCCTTTAAAGGTCATGCTTCATGTGTATGATGAAGAGGTTTCTGACCCCAAGTCTGCAAAACTTATCACGCTGAAGTTCGAGTATTTGTTGAAGTTGAATGTTGTATGTGTTGGAATTGAAGGATCCCATGAAGCGCCTGAGAATAACATCTTATGTAACTTATTCCCCGATGACACCGGTCTTGAGCTTCCACACCAGGTATTGATATTTGTTTTCTTGTTAGTAATCCATTTCTTCTCACGAGCTCTAACTCTGTTTTACTCCTTTTGCTCCACCTCTTGTATAAATTATTTATTTATTATTATTATTATTTTGTGTTATAATAACCTTTATGTCTATTTGTTTGACACAGTCAGCCAAGCTCGTCATTGGTGATTCTCTTCTGTTTGGTGAAAGGAGAACTTCCCGTCCATACAAGTGGGCCCAACATCTGGCCGGAATTGATTTCTTACCTGAGGTGTCTCCATTGCTTAATGGACATGGAACTCCAGGAACGGATGTAGCAAAAAATGATGCTGTTGTGTGTGGCCTTTCTCTATATCGCCAGCAAAATCGTGTACTTACAGTTGTTCAACGAATTCGCTCTCGGAAGAAGGCACAGCTGGCTCTTGTGTGAGTCATTGTTCTGTACCTTTTAAGTCATGAATCAAGGACAGTCTAGAAAACATTAGGAAATGAATACCACATCTGATCAAGTCTGATTTTACTAATTTGTAGAGTTCTACTAGCGGAACTCATTTATGAAGTGGTGGTTTTTTCCCCTTGCTATTGTATCTTGAATCTGATCAATGCATTACTTATGTTTTAATAATTAATAGCATCTTATATAAGAAAGTTTAATTGCATTTGATGCTTTATATCATGTTTTTTCAGCGTGGTAAGGTACTCTCTGTCTTGAAATGTTGATATTCTGTGATTGGCTACAGGGAACAGCTTGATTCACTTATGAAGCTTAAATGGCCTGATTTGTCTTGTGAAAGTGTTCCATGGGCTTTGCATACTCCTTTGTGCAATTTTATTAGTTGTTCACCTGTAGGAACCCCACCTAATCAGGGTTCTTCTTTAATAGAGTTGGAGCAGGTTCCACAACCTATAGATGTGGTTGAACGATCTGGTTCTTCGAAGGAGGAAGTAGAGAATGCTAGGGAAGATGGGGAGCTTCCATCTCTGATTCCAGTTTTCTCTACTGCAAGTGACATTGAACTTACTCCATCAAAAGAGTCTAATCTTGACCACTTCAGGCAGCTGGCTTTAATTTCAAAAAGTATTGTATCTCCAATCAGTAAGGCAAAATCACAAAGTTTTAAGAAACGTGATGAAGATTCAATTCTCTTGCTTGATATCGAGAGTGATATGGATGAGCCAGCATATATGGAGCCGGAGGAAGAACAAGTGGACCCCGTTCAATGCTTCGAGGTGGACAGAAAATGGGTACATTATGGGGTCAGGGAATTTTCTCTCATCTTAACCAGGAATACAGGCGCAGATAAGAAGACTGTGAAGTTAGAAGCCAAGGTAGCTAACAAATTTCCTCTTGTCTCGTGTCTTGCATTGCATCAGAATTATACTTCTTAGTTTGACATTTCTATTATGACAGATTAAGATCAGCATGGAGTATCCGTTGAGGCCTCCCCTTTTTGCATTGAGCATTTACACTTCATCTGGAGAAAATCATTACGAGGATGATGGTTCTGAGTGGTACAATGAACTTCGTGCAATTGAAGCGGAGGTGAGTAGTTATTTGTCTTAGAGCTGTGATGCTCTAGAAGTAGCTTCTTGGTAATTTGAATTTCTTTAGGACGTGAGAAACATTGGATGTAGAAAAGCTTATTCCACTTGACATCTTAAGAAACTCTCAATCGACTGTAGTCCGCTTGATGGCTTGATCAGTTTCCGCTTATTCACACTTTTGTAGGTCAATCTGCACATGCTGAAGATGTTACCTCTGGATGAAGAAAACCACGTGTTGGCCCATCAAATACGTTGTCTGGCAATGTTGTTTGACTATTACATGGACGAGGTTTCCTCTTCCTCTGAAAAGAGAAAGAGTACTTCTGTAGTTGACGTTGGCTTGTGTAAGCCTGTTAGTGGTCAGCTTGTTTCCAGATCATACAGAGGAAGAGATCGCAGGAAGATGATATCTTGGAAAGACATGGAATGCACTCCTGGCTATCCTTACTAGGAAAGCATATTTCTTTGGTTTTTAAAGGTGAACATTGAATAGCCAGGGGTCACAATAATGTTCAGGAGAAGAGGAAAAAAAAATATTGTGAAAACGCAACTTATAATGACAATGATTTTCGACTACTGGGTATAAAATATGAGTTCAGATGCGAGTTTGAACTTTGAACTGGGCATAAAATATGAGTTGTGGAACTGGGCATAAAATATGAGTTCAGATGCGAGTTTGAACTTTGAAGCGATTTTTTTATGCAGCTGGAACTTGGGACTTTCAGTTAAAGGGGTCACCTCTCACCAGCTATATCCTAGAATTTGTCCAGGAGATTATTTCATGGCATTACATGTGTAATTTATTTTCCACATTTTTTTTTTCTATATATGTAAAAAATTTTAGCATACTGCCTTGTAGCGCAATGTAGTATGTTGGGAAGCCAAGATATTTATCAAGCACCTTGTTCCCATTGACTCGGTTAGCCCTACAAATTATAAGCGACCGAGATATTTAGCACCTTGTTCCGATAGACTTGGTGAGGCACAAATTATATAAAGCTGACACTAACTATGGCAACGTTAAGAATCTACCGTAGCCACCGTATATTCTTTGATTCGGTCTATCAATTAGAAATGCCTTTCTTTTTTCTTTCGAATTCATTTTATTAATTTAAATTTTAAAAAAAATTATAATAAATTTTTTTAAAAATAGTAATATTTAATTTTTTTATTATAATAAAAAATTCTCATATAAAGTTACATCTTAATTTGAATTAAAAACTTAAATTAATAAATTAAAAAGACTTTAAATGTGCTCAAGATTAAGTACTTATCCATTATCTAAAATTATATAATTAATTAAAAAATTAATTAAAAAATTAATAAAATTAATTTTTATCATTTCATATCATATAAAATGAAAAGTAACCACCGTTTTTACGTAACCATTAATAAAATTTCGTCCGTGTGCCTTTGTCAAGTTGTTAAAGGAGTTGTTAAAGGGATTTGTCACGTCGAAATGACGACATAATCACATCAAGACATATATATGCCAAATTTATTCTGGCCGACTACAGGGTGACGTCTTTGAAAATAGACCGTAATTGGCATGCATACGAGAATTTAATATTTACTTTTAAAATTTAAATTTTATTATAATTAAAAATTCTTAAAAACAGTTACATTTAAATTTTTTTATTATTATAAAAAACTCATATAAAATCATATCTCAATTTAAATTAAAAACTCAAACCTACGGACTACACAAACTAAATAATAGACCCGTATATGCGTGCAAAATATCCCATTACATGCTACTTTAGTACCAGAGGATATCAAACAGACTTGTTTGCCTATTTTACATATTTATTATTTAAAATTGGAAATTTGGAAGAATGATAAACGACGGGGAAAAAATTGCAGACAACGGCACAACGTATTATGTTTAGGATATTTGCTTGGCTAGTGATGATAAAAACTAACATGGCTCTAAAATATGTATTATCAGGCAATATCTCACAGATGTATTCGGCTTCTCCTTCCCTATCTATACTCATGTTAGGAGAAGCCATGGAGGATCATATAACTTATTATTATTATTATTTTAAAAAAAAAAGTTACCTACAACACACTAAAGCTCTCATGATCTACAACAGAAAACACATTCGCCTTACGTATGTACAAGACACCTACTACAAGCTTCCAACTACAGATTCACAATCGCACCGCTACACTTCACCATGGACCTGTCTGTGTTCTTCTCAAGCACCGCTTCTTCCCTCCCCGCTGCATGTTCATCATGTCCATTGCCTGTCATGAAAGTACTTAGCCCGTCATTACAAAATGTATCAAGGGCTATATAAAGAAACTCCAAGTTACAAAATAAATATTCTATTCAAGACGATGCTTATCACAAGGAGAGGGGATATCTAAAATCATGGTTTTAAAAAGCGCGCACACACCTTGAGGCAAGCCTCGTGGTGAGACGGTAAAAAAGCGCCCAACTCCTACACCTTACAAGGTAGGTGTTGAGGCGTGCGCCTCAGCCACTGCACACGCCTTTGAGCGGCGCCTCAGGCAGTTAGTGAGGCGTCCGCCTCTCTGCAAAGGGTCTTCTGGTGGGTTATTTTAACATGTTGGTCCAAAAGTTTTAAAAAGCTTAAAGTACCCAGGCCCTTAATGACTAAGAAAAAACCCTAATAACAAAAGAAGCCAGCCACTTGCACATCCGTCTCTCCTTTCTTCCTCGCACGGGCAAACACTCTTCTTCTTCTCTTAGTAGTGATGATGATTGATGAGTTAGGAGATTAGGCTTTTAGAAGTGCATTATGAACCTTATAATATTAAGACTTGATAATCATTTAGGGTTTGTTTTTTTAGATCAAAACTCAAAAAAAGTTTAAAAAACTTAAGTTATAACTTTATTCAAATTCACGTTCTTTTATAAAATTTGAGTTTGAACTTGAGTTTAAACTCGAGTTTTAACTTGAGTTTGAGACTAAAATCCGAGTTCAAGTTCCCCCTTCAACTCAAATTCTTAAACTCAAACTCAAATTAATGAACAATATTTTTTCTATTCTTAAAAATGTACTTTTTCTATTCTTAAACTCAAACTCAGATTAAGATGATTTTTTTTCTATGCATTCAAAATGAAAAGATGAATAAAACCACACCTATATACCCTATTAAAATTTTTCATTACCATTGAGTTTTTATTAAAAAACAATCTAAATACAAATTTAAGTTTTAACTCATCCAAACACAAACTCAAATAGATTCTCAATTCAAACCATAACTCAAATGTGCACATTCAAACACAAACTCAAGTTACAACTTCAACTCAAGTTATAACTCAAATTCAACTCAAGATCTACACTCAAGTCACCATAACTCAAAAATACAACCGGACAAAACCTTTAGAGCTCGTTCTTTTAGAGTTTAACTTTATTATAATTCTTGAGTTGAATTTGAGTTGAACTTGTAACTTGAGTTTGTGTTTGGTTGTATACATTTGAGTTATGGTTTGAGATAAGAATCTTATTGAGTTTGTGTTTGAATGAGTCAAAACTTAAATTTGTATTTAAATAGTATTTTAATAAAAACTCAATGCTGATGAAAAATTTTAATAGGGTATATGGGTCGGGTTTTATTCGTCTTTTCGTTGTCAACGCATAGAAAAAAAAATCATCTCAATCAGAATTAAAACGAAAAAGTTATAGCATTTTTAATAATAGAAAAAATACTGTTCATTAATTTGAGTTCGAGTTTCTGAACTCGAGTTGAAGAGAAAACTTGAACTCGAGTTTTAGGGGATGTTTGGTACCTAGATTCGTTTCCTGATTCGAATTATGGTTCGTGATTCGCTACAGTATTTTCTCTCACAAAAAATACACGTAAATCGAAAATAATTCTAATCACATGGTTCTAATCCATGAACCAAACGTCTCCTTAGTCCTAAACTTGAGTTTAAACTTAAAAGAACATGAATTCGAATAAAGTTGTAACTCGAGTTGCATTTTTTTGAGTTTTTCACTCAAAAGAACAAACCTTTAGTCTTTTTTACGCTTCTAGTAGTGAAATAGACTTCTCTTTATATGGATGTTTGATTAAATTTCTTGTTTTTAATGATTATTAAGTATGGATTTAGTTTTTGTTAGTATTATTCATTTTCTTAAATTTTTTAAGACTTACACCTCAAAGCACCTTGAAGCTTACGCCTCACCTCATAAAGGCAAAACGCTTTGAGGCCCGATTCCGTCTTTTAAAATCTTGTCTAAAATCTTAAGAAATTAATTCTTTTGACAGTTATATACTTTATATCCGTGGGGTTGAAATAAAATAATTCTTTGATTTTAGACAGGCTATAATTTGCCACGTATTTAGGAGATAAATATGGTTAAGTTCATCCATGAAAAGATGCTGAGATCACGAATTCCAGATTTCTTGTCTCTTTGGTGAATAAATTAGTGGTCTACAGGATCCCATTCCCGCTCCTTTGATTGTGATGGTTTCTTAGTACTATATGTTTATGAGACATGAGTTGCAGAAAGACATTTATATGTTCTTCAAACTGGTATTTTTTCTAATTCAGGATTAAGTGTTCGCCGTACACTACAAAAAACCATCTACAAAGAAAGAGACACAAAGCGAAAAACATGGTATTATGACAACTTCATTAATTAGCTAAGGAAATTTTGTCTGACCATATTTCATGCTGACTAGGGAGTTGTAAATCCATTTCATTTTTTCATTAAACTCATTATTAATCAGAGAGAAACATTGTATCAACAGAAAAGGGAGGAAAATCCAAAGTACCTGGTTCTTCTGCATTTCAATAATTTCTTCCTGCAACAGCCAAAGGACAACCGTATGAGTTTTTCACAGACATGCCAACTTACTCATGTGTGCCTACGTACAAAAACAATCTATAAGAAAGTACCTGTTTCTTCCTCAACTCTTCGTTATCCTCTTTTAACTTGGCAACTTCTGCTTCCAGTTCCATAGTGTAAGCCTGTAAAAAGCCAACAAGAGATAGATAACAGTAGAAAATATCAAGCACATAGCCAAATGCTATACCAACAACAGTTACGAGTCATCCTACGCAATACATCACGCTAGTCCACAACCAATCAAATTATAGAATTTTTTTTTATCAAAACAGAATTAAGTTCATAGTTCCAGAAGTTATTTAACGTCTTTTTATTTGAGATGGTATAACTTAACTTCATACTATGTTCATTGGCGTTCCATTACCTCGTAATAAACTGGATCCTTATAACTTCTCATGACCGTAACTTCTCAAAATCTTTCATCTCTTTGTCATGTCAGATCGCTATCACATTACCATTCTGCCACATAATCTTTCACCAAGTTTTGGGACACAGAACGTCAATAGACGATAAAAGCAGAATGTCAATGGCTAGCAAAATTTATAAAGTGACAACAAGACGCGTAAATTATCAGTAATTTCTTTAATTCTTGGACCAATCACAGTTTCACCCTTTTTATCTGTAAAAAAAGGGTGCTTTGATAACCCAAAAACTTCCCTTTCTTCCTCATTTGTTAAAGCGTGCAAGGAATGTCTATCTAGCCTTCGATTTTCAGTCAGCACATTAAGGTGCCAGTACAAAGATACAGCCAAGTGGTACGGTGATGCAACATAATAGCTGTTTACGCATCACTGATAAATTTACAGGTGACCTGAGAGCCCACTAATAAATTTTTGACACGTTCACTTGAAGCGTTTTTTTAATCTACTAATTCAACTTGAATGCGTGTTGTGTTATCCGAGCGTTCACTTGTCTAAACACAAACCAAACATGGGACTCAGCAGCTGACTCACTACATCTAGGATTGAACCATATATACGAAAGAAAACACCAGAAAAACAAAATCAAATCAAAACAAGTGAAATTCACCTGCTTGCGAGCTCTCGACCTGGCAGCAGACTCTCTGTTCTTAATCATCCTCCTCTGCCTCCTCTCCGCAACTTTCTCCACAGCCCCACTGCACTTCCTCCCCCGTAAACCGCCGTTAAACACGAAGGGCACCGGCGAAACCGACGACGTATCGCCGTTGCTCTTCATCCCATCAGACGATATCTGATTCGCAGGCGACCCAGAAGCCATAGTCACAGCCCCAGCTCCTAATCCAACCATTCCCATCCCTCCTCCACTTTGTACCAAAGCACCTCCCAAGTTACCCTGCTCCGAAATGCCCATGATCCCACTCCTCACACCGGGACTTCCCAGATGATTAGCCCCAGTTTGCAGAGGCAACTGAGACGCGTAACCCATAGCGGGCTGCTTTGGAAAAATCTGCTGTTGCTGATTCGATCTCACGCCATTAACGTTCAAAGGCAAGTTCGCAGCTTGAATTGGAATCTGATTGTTACTAGTATCCGTAATCCGATTCCCGATCAATCCTGCTCCAATTCCTAAACTCGCGTTGTTGATGTTATTACCGAAGAAGCCAGTTCCATTCGGCGGTTGCTTCTCACCCAATTGGCTATTATTATCTTCTCTCACAACCCCAGCTCTCACCAAGAACTCCTCCAAAGTCATCTCTCCTAGGGTTTGCTGCCTTTGCGGTACACTAGCCCCAACGGCTCCATTCCCTTCCTTGGAAATGTTTCTCCAGACCTCGTCCACGGTCTTCTGGCTCAGCGTCCTCGGCAGAGTCAACGAGCCCTGCCTCTGCAGAGGCGCGCCGCCGCCACCGCTCTGCACGGCGACCGATGCGCCGCCGACCGACGTCATCGACTGGATCTCCTCCGCGCTCCAAATGTTCTTCAGAAGCTCGTCCATGTTCATTGAACCAAAATCCTTTCCCAAGCTCCCACCCATGGTGTTCTGGAACTCGTCAAAGGTCAGAGAGTAGATCGACGACTGTCTCACCAGCTGATTGCCGCCCGGCGGCCTCCCTACGCCGCCGCCGCTCGCCGGCAGCTCGTTCCCGAACGCCCTGAAGTTCATATTTGACCCCATTTTTGCGCGCGAATCTAAAAATCTCGAAGCTTCTGATTGTCCGCGATATGAATCTTGCTTCTGTTCCGCCTATAATCGCAAGAAAATGATTTACAGAGGAAGAAATTTCAGATTGAGGAGACGAAAATCGACATTGTTAATTCATGAACTCCGATCAAACAAAATCACTGGGTTTCGAAAAACCAGAATTTCCAAAACTCCAAAAGATGCAAAATTCTTCTGAGCTTCACATCAGGCAAACGATTCAAAACCCTTAGAACCGATCAATTTCTGACATCGTTACTCAAGCTCACAACCGGGAAAAACAAAAAAACAAAAAACAAAAAGCGAGAAAAGAGGGAATTTGAGAAGAAAATAAATAACAGAAAAAAAAAATTCTTGCAAAAACAGAACAATTTACAGAGAAAAGGTAGGAGGAGCAGAGAGCAGTAGTAGTTGGGAAAATGATAAACTCATATGAATTTTAAGAGAGAATAATAATTAAGGAAAATTAAAAAGTAAGAAAGATAAAGCGATGCTTTTACTACATTTACCTTCTTCTTTCTTTTTTTTTTCGTCTACTCTATTTTTTTGCTTTTTTGGGTATTTTCGGGTTTTCAGAAAATTTCTCTTTCTGGTGGCTTCTTTGGCTGCGTTCTTCTTTTTTCTTGCTTAGCTTAGCAGGCCTTCTGCCACCACAACCGCCAAATGTCTACTGTCTTTTGCTGCTCGCCTATATATATAAACGATTTTCATATATTTGTTCATTTTTAGTGTTTTTTTTCTTTTTCTATTTATTATTTGTGTTTTTGTTTTTGTTTTTTTTTTCCTTCTTCTGTTTGTGGGGGAAAGGGAGTGTAGGGTTAAAAATCATTAAAAATAAATCGAATTGTCTGAAATATTTATATGAATAAAATAATAAAATAAATGAGAGGTGGATCACCGATCAGCCTGCTTTAAAACGTGGACCAAGGGGAATGGGTAGGAGGCTTTCATGTGACGAAACCAATGGGGATTTGCTAAGTGGGAGGATCTGGACCGTCCACGTTTCGTGTGAGGATTCGATGGGGGCTTTATTGTGGTCTAAAAATTATAGTGGCGTTGGATAAGGATGTGGACTAAGGTTGCGTGTCGCATCTGGCGACCGCAGATAGAGTCCGTTGGTGTGAGTTCAGAGGGCATTTTCGTCCAATCAGAGCTTTAGTGCAAGTGAAAGCCATATGCCGACAGGACAAACAGATTTTCGAATATATTTTTTTTATTCCTTTACACACAAAAAAAAGTTAAAAATACATAAGATCGGTTTATTCACTAATTTAAATTTTTAATTTAAGTTAAAATGTAATTTTATGAGAGAATTTTTTATTATAATAATAAAATTAAATGTGATTATTTTTTAAAATTTTATAATATAATAAAATTTAAATTTTAAACTCAAATTGATAAAATAAACGGAGTCATAATTAATTACAAATGACCGTTCATTATAAAAGAATTCGACTCTGATTATTGATTGGATTTAACAGTAAAAATGGTTGAAGCATAAGGAGCGAACACAAACACCTAGATGCAATGAGAAAAAGCTTGCTCGACACATAAAAATCAAGTACAACAAAACTTGTTTGAAAGAAACACTAAAATCAATTGATTAAACTAATCGATCAAGACCAAATCTTAAATAATGTGAGCATAAGCAACACAATTTAGATACACATGTAGTCAGACATCACTATCCACATAGTCGGTAAATAACTAAAGCGGGTGAGTCAAAAAAAAAAAAAAACTAAAAGGTGAAGAAACCACCACATTCGTTGTTAGAAGAAACATAAAACTCATCGGCGAAAACAACGCTGTTATTACACATATACTAGATTTATAGAAAAGAAAGGAAAAAAAAATTCCGGATAACACTGTCGAATGCCTAGGGCGAAGGGGCAACAAGCGAAGGAATCGTGAAAAAAAGGTGGCTGGCTTCGAGGGGGTCGAAATGGTGCCTCTAAACAGGAGCATGTGAGTAGCACGCACCATTGCATAGTTACGGGAAAGAGACGCCGCCGCCACCAAAAGAAGACCACCACCATGCGAAAGAAAACCCCAAGAGATCTCAGCCAGCCATCTGTGAACGCGCTGGACACCGCAGCCCAATCGTGAGGCTTCCAAGCTCCCTTCAATTTTCGATCCGTTCAAACGGAAATACCCAGCATGTCACCACCACTATCGTCAAGAAGTCCACGACGAATCGAGTCGGAGGACCAAAAATCAAGATTGGGAACCCGACAATGTGCCTGTAGGTGGTGCCAGAGCTCCGACTAAAAGTTGATTCCAACGACGTTTAAGAGAGGGAAAGAAAGGAAAGAGGAGAAACATGCTAGAGGAATAGGGTTTCTCTCAATTACAGGCGTGACAAATTTGAATAGAGACAAACAATAAATATTTGATCGAACAATTAGCATAAACTAATAACATAGTAAATATTTAGGTCTAATTTTTTTTTTTTCCAATGAAGATGAATACCAACGTCGAGCTAATTACCAGTAACGGAGAAGAAGAATAAGAGGAAAAAAACACAAGGTGAATTAGGAACGACTCTTAATCTTTTTAGATAAATTAGCTTTTAAGTTTATTTTTATTGAAAATTTTTGTGTTTAAATTGTAAAATGAATAATGATTCCATTTAATAGAAGCAATCAGTGTAATCCAATGAAGATGAATACCAACGTCGAGCTAATTACCAGTAACGGAGAAGAAGAATAAGAGGAAAAAAACACAAGGTGAATTAGGAACGACTCTTAATCTTTTTAGATAAATTAGCTTTTAAGTTTATTTTTATTGAAAATTTTTGTGTTTAAATTGTAAAATGAATAATGATTCCATTTAATAGAAGCAATCAGTGTAATGTTGTGCATATGTTCTGGTAAAGGCCCTAAAAACTATTGATTGAAAGTCCGAATTGTAAACTCATATGAATGTTTTTTTTTTCAAACTTTTAGGTTAATATATAATGAAAAATGAAACTATTTTGTTAATTTTAAAATCTATTACTAATTTTTGGAAATTAAAAATTGCAATTTCCAATTAAAAACAAATTCGAAAAATAATTTACTTAAAAACAATTGAAGGTCAAATCAATCAAAACACTTATAGATTAAAGACATAGATGTAAAAAACTTAATAATAAAGTGACTTTCTCTAAGAGAGTCTCTCTATTATCAGAGTCAATTAATACTAGAGTCAATTAATAACTATAAGATCTAGTTAAAATAATATCAGATTGACAAAATACGTAGAATAAATAGTTTTTTTACATAAATTTAGCAATTTAAGATATGAAATTATCACTAGTTCATGTTTTCTATTCTTACAAGAAAAACTCCTTTATTTAATAAAGGGTGATTGCATAAATATACCACTTAGTTTTAATTCCTTTGCAATTACTCTATGTTTAAGAACTGTAAAGGTTTTCTTTTTTACATGAAAAATCTGTTCCATTTATCATTTACAATTATTTGCCTAGTTAATGGAGTAGCTGAACATTACAGGTCTTGTTTGCATCGAAGTACTGCATTTTTTTCTCTTTCTTTTTCTTTTTTTGATAAAAAAGAGATCACTCATATCATCTTACCATTATTTTCAGTCTATAGAAAACATTTTGTGGCTCATTGGCTAGCTTTACTCAATTCTAGTTAAAATATGAGCTCCATTTCAAGAAAATTGCCATGAATACAATGTCGTATAATTTGTTGGTCGAGTACGACTTATTAGAATAACAAGAAATTTGGAAACGTTTTAAAAGAAGAGGAAAGTAAGACATTCTACACTATTCAAAAAAAAGATATATATATTTTTAGTGAAATCTTGCTTTTATTCAAAAGAAATTAAATCAGTTTGTATAAAATAATTGATAAATCTTGGATAAGATTCCACACACACTATATCAACAGGACTAAAAAAAACATAAGCGACTAACGCGTGAGTTACAAAATTAAGCCGAACTATCAAAGACCACAAACAGCCGAGCTAGCAAAAGTATGTCGACAAACAACTGAGAACCGACGAAAAAGCCGATTATCTTATCCAATACGTGTTTATATTTGACAACAAGGGGAAGCCATTGTGGACGGACAAGCCTCGCCTAAAATTGGAACTTGGGAAGACTTTTTTTCTTTTCTGGAGTCGTACCATCCATTTTCGTAGTGCAAAAAGAGGTCATTCACATTGGTTATAAAGATCTCGTTTATTTCACTTATTCAAGTTTTGTTACAGTAAAAAATTCTAAAAAATAATTATATTTAATTTTTTTATTATAATAAAAAATTTTCACATAAAATCACATCTCATCTCAAATTAAAAATTTAAATAAATAAATAAGGTCTCGTTCATTTTACGAATTCGAGTTTTTAATTTGAGTTGAGATGTGATATTTTCTGAGAGTTTTTCACTGTAACAGAAAAAGTTAGATGTGACATTTTTTGAGAATTTTTTACTGTAAAAACCTAAAATTAAAAACTCAAATCGGTGAAATGAACGAGACATAAATATATCTAAAATATCAGTAGACAAGTCTAAGGAAAAGGTCTAATTTCACGTGGAACTCAGGGGCTACGCTCGTGAAGATTTCAGAGCACGCACTTTCTTCGATTATATATAAAACTTTCCTTAAAAGCAATAAAAATAAAAAAATAAAAAAAAATGTAGTGCCTAGTGGAGTAAGCAGGCTACCAGAGGCCTTGAAATTTGGGACACTCGTCAGTTTGTAACGAACTTCTTTTGTATCCGCTGCTGGTAAAAAAAGCTCTCTATGGTGAGACAAAAAAAAAAAAAAAAACTAGTAGAGCATTGCTTTTTATTATGAGATTATTTTTTTAATGATTAAACTTGTAATACAAGCAATTTTATATGACGTGTTATAAAATTTTTAATACAAATTGTATAAATTTAACTGTTAGAAAATGAATATAACAATTAAAAATGTAAATTCCACCGTAAAAGTTTCTTACAAAGAATTACTTTCATATCGTCTAGTATTCACACTTGTTTTTAATAATAATTTTGATGTCACGAGCAAAAAGGAAAAAAAAAATGATGATTTCTACTTCTACAATAGTTTAATGGTTAAAAAAAAGGAAAATTTCACGGTGCATTCTTCATTTGTAATCCACTAGTAGAGTAAGACTTTTTTTATCTTGAGATTAAAATTTTAACAATTAAATTTGTGCATGTATTATTAAAAATTTACAGCGCATTACACAAATTTATTTTTACTACAAATAATCTAACAACAAAAATAGGTCACAATTTTGAGATGCACAATGAAAAACTACAATGGTGGTAAAAAGAAGACGAAAAACTACTATTGTGGGATTTAACAAAATTATTTGTATGTTTTATATTGATGATTTTAGGAATAATATTACGGATGCGTTTGGAACTCGTTTTAAAATAATTTTATTTTTTATATGAAAATAAAAATATTTTTAATCTCATATATAAATCATTTTTAAAAATGCATTTGATAATTTTATCAAGATATTATTTTCAGTATAAACAAATTTATTAATATCTCTCCCTCTCTTTCTGTGTTCAAGAAAGAAAAAAACGGAAATAAAAAATAAAAAACGACTAAAAATTATTTTTCATTTATCTTCTATTTTATACTAAATTAAAAAATTATTTTTATTTTTATTTTTTATCTTTAATTATGTCAAACGTTATTTTTCTCATATTTTTATTTTTTTCTTTCTTAAATAACGTAAAAAATAAAAATAAAACC